TTCTCTTTTCTTTCTTTCTTATATAAAAAAAAAAGAAGAAACCTAAGGAATAATCTCCATCCATACCAAGGCTCAGACTGTTAATACTGCGAACCTCGGAAATCACTGCTCCACCCTGTTCCTTTGCGCGCTGAAGGGTTTATTTTGATGCATTTTACTGGTGTTTTTTAAAGAGAAAGAGAGAGAGAGAGGAGGGAAAAAAAAAGTGGAAAAAAAAAGTAAAAAAAAAAAGAAAAAAAAAAGATTTTAAAATTAGAACATTTCTTTATAATTTAATATTCTATTTTAATAAATGCATTTATTACGTGTAAATGTAGCAAGGAACTGGGCTAATAAAAATACTTTTTATTAGGTAATTTATTATAAGGAGAAAAAAAAAAAGAAAAAAAAGCAAAACAAAAGGATATTTTATTTTATGATAAAGTGATCCTTAAAAGTTTAGAAGGTTTAGAATATATGTAGGTTAAAAAAAAAATACATTTGTATCCAGAGTATTGCTTACAAAGTGTTTTTAATATATGTTTCCTCTTTTTTGTGTGTGCGTGTGTGTCTGTACAAGGTGGTAGTCATGGTGCAGATCAGCCCTTTCCAGAAACGAGACTTTTTAAGCAGAAGGTAACAAATTGAAAGGAGAAAACAAGCAAAAAATGGTGATTAAAACCCACCAGAAATAGGTGAAAAAAAGGAAGAATCGGAATCGCGGAGCCCCAGCCTTGGGCTTGCTCCGCCTTTTGCGGAGGGCTCAAGGGGCTTTGTGGGCTCGGATGAAGCTTTGGAGGGCTCAGGGGCAGCGTGGCCCCAGTGAGCCCCAGTTTGCTCCCAGTGAGCCCCATCCAGCCCCGGCCTCGCTGAGAGCATCACTCACAGCCCAGGGTCCGGCTTCGACCCGGTGCTGCGTGCGGATGGGTTGCTCCCGCTGGGTTTCCTTAGGGAAAGGTCACTCCTTGGGCACTGGGAAGCAAAGCTTGCGTCCTTCCAGCCAGCACCACGGGCCCCATCCTGCCCCGGGGAGCCAGGGACCAGTGTTGCCCTTGGTTCAGTTCGCAGGAGGAGGCCAGAGGATTCCGGGTCCTTCCCAGGATGGGAGCGCGCTGGCAGGGATGCTCTGCACATCCATTGCCTCCCTTCAGGCGTTGTTTCCATGTGCGCCTCCCAGGACAGGAGGGCTTTATCCCCCCCATCCATCCTCCTCCTTATGGAGCTAAGGGCTTGTGCAGGACCCAACTGCTCCCGGCCAGCTCCAAGCCATCCTGGAGAGGGGAATGTCACCCTTTCTGCTCCCCCCAAGGCGGAGAGGGCACCCAATGGCCAAGACAAGCGATGGAAAAGCCATCGTGGGGCCAGCATCCCCATGGGAGGCTTTGTGCTTGCAGGGGCAGCTCTTCAGCCTCATCCCTGTGGGGTCACTCCCTGTGACCCGAGTTGGGATGGGATGAAGAGCTCCGGAGCATGGAGGGTCCCACACACTTCCATACGAAGCCAGCCCGTGGCCCGCTCCCTTCCGAGCAGGAAGCTTTGGGGGATGCTTCTGCTCTGTTGCCTTTCAGAGAAGCGTTTTGAAAAGCAGATTTTTGGGTTTGTTTTGGTTTTTTTTTTTGGTGGTGTCGTTTTTTTTTAACCAAAAAGGAGATTAAAAAAAAAAGGAAAAAAAAAGAAAAATGTTGATGGGTATTAAAAAATAATAATAATAATAATAATAATAATAAACGTTCAAATTTATTTCCTATAATCCTAGAGTAAAGATGAAAAGATTAACTAGCTCAAATAGTAGATGCTATCCATATTGTTTAATCTATAGTAGAGCCAAGTGATCCCAGACAGAGCAGAATGTAAACGAAACTCCGAAGCAAGATCAAGGAATCATTTGTAACTTCCCAGCAAATTCCCATTTTTTTGCGAAGAAAAAAAAAACCCAACCAAAAAAGGGATGGAATAATGGGTGGGGTTTTTTAAGCAAAAAAAAAAAGAGACATTTGGGGGGTTTGGGGTTGCTTTTTTTTGTCACTAAAACGAGGGAGATGTGGCTTGTCACCGAGGAAATCACGGCTCGGGCTCTTGGGGTTTTGCCTTATCCCGACCTCCGGGTTGGGAGCAGGGAATTGCCGAGGGGAAAAGGAGAAAGGGGCCGATTCCTGCTCCTTTTCCTGCTGTTTGAAGGTCTCCTGGCTCGGGGCGGGTGGGAAGGAGCAGGGGAGGAAGCCCCCTCTGTGATGTGATGGGCAGCGCTGGACCAGGGGAGCAGGGGCCACCCGCTTGGCTCCTTCCCTCTCTCGCCTCTTTCCTTTTCCCTTTGGGATTCTCTTTGAGCCGGAGGAAGCCTCGAGCCTCAAACCCTCATCTTTGTGGGGTCCACGGCGTCCCTGAGCGCCAGCGGAGAGGGGCAGGATGTGCCCCACAGCTCCAGCTGGTTAAACCCTGGTCCTTGTGGGTCACCACTTTGCTCCCAAGCATCAGGGCTGCACCAACCCCCCCCTCCCCACTCTGTTTCCACGTTCCAAAGGACCCAGCATCAAGGCCGTTATCATTAGAGAAGCAGAAGAAAACCACTCTTGAAAGGGGCTTACCTCCGGGGCCGGCTTTTGCTCCTCTCCTCCGTGCCGTGGCTCAGCCATTGGTGATGCCCCTGAGCCGGGAGCATCCCTAAGGATCCTATAAAAGCCTTGGAGACACGCTCGTCTTACCACGTAACCAGCATTCCTTCAGCAAAGCCATGCAATAGGTTAGGACAGGAAGCGAAGACAGTTCTCATTCTGCACATAGCACTGTGAATCCGAGCGGGTTGGGAGCGCCGGGCACAGCACAGAAGGGGGTTGTGCTTGGTGGTACCAAGCTCCTGGTCGCGCAGGGTGACCGAGGGGCCCTCGTTTGCTCTTTCCTTTTCGTTTTACCTCATGTGTTTTGGTTTGATACTTGAAGAAGAGGCAGTGATTGACATTGGGCCGTGGGTGATGCCCTGGGCTGGAGAGCGGATGCACTTTATACTTGTACACCGAGTGCGGGGGTCCCATCCTGCCTCTGCAAGGTTCCCTTGGTGTCAGCACCGGCAGGGGCAGAGCCAGGACGGGCTGGTTCTTCCAAAGCCCTTTCTAGGGTGTTGGGGAGCAATCCCTGTGTTTCGTTGTGGGGCTTCACATCCTATAGAGGCTCCCGATCCCGTTCTGCTCTTTGCTGAGCTGGTGGAAAACTCGGCCATGATCCCGCTGGGTTCGCCCTCAGTTAGGGAACGCGGGGCAGCTCCTGCCTTTCCTCCTGTGTAACTCAATGGGGTTACTCAATTGGAATCTGAAGGGGCTTCAGCCCTGGCAGGCGGCGGCGTTCCCTCTGGATGCGCTCCAGCATCACTTCAGGGCTGCTAATGCAGCCAATGGGAAGTGTCCTCCCCCTCCCCAGGGAGGTGACACTGGTGGGAAAGCCGGAGTCAATGAAGCCTCCTTCCACCCGTGGCACTGCTGATGGCAGAAGGGGTTCGCTGGGCTTGAGACGATGCTTCCCAAGCGTTCCCGCAGCTCCGGGGCGCCGGGATGAAGGGATGCGCTCATGGGATGCTCTGCTCCTCTGCAGGGTGGGGTTTTCCCCTTTTCCTTTCGGTTTCTGCGCAAGAGAATGGGAAAGAAAAAGGGAAAACACCACAAATGAGGGGCCAGGTCCTGCTCTGCAGCTGAAGCTTTGCTGCGGGGTTCCAAGCAGCGTTAAGCAGCACGCAGAGCCGTGCCGCGGAGCAGCTCTGATCCCAGCTCCAGGGGAATCGATCCCCTGGGATGCCCAGAGCAGCCCCCGGGCACCCACTGGGACCTGCAGAGGATTCCCTCCGGCTCTGCCCTGGTACCAAAGAGCTCCCGGTGGGATTTGCCATGAGCTAAACCCCAACTGGATCCATGCATCCACCAGCGCCGAGCTCAGTGGTACCCCCCCAAGCCCTTCATGGCTTATGGCTTGCCCCAGCATCCCTTCATCCTCGCTCCAAGCCGTACAAGTGTCTGTGTGTATCCGCTTTCCCGCTGGATCCGGGTGCTATATCCCATAGTCCTACTCCACGGTACTCCCAACCTCGTGCTGAGCCAGCCCTGTGTGGCCCTTCCAAGTCCATTCCCTCTCCCGTTGTGTTTGCTTTGATGGATTCTTCTTTCTCCCCCCCCCTTCCTCTTTTCTTTGAACATCAATAGGAAACCTGTAGTAGGGATTGTTACTATTGGAAACCGATCACATGTTCCATCCCGGTATTCCCATCTCTCCGGCGTGACGCAAAGGGAAAGGCCTGAGAGGGACATAACCGAAGCTAGAGTAGAGTTAGGCTCGTCGTCTGAGTTTTGAGGCATATATAGGGTAAGGGGAGAAGGAATGGTGAAAAAAGAAATAAGGTGAAAAGAGAAGAAAAACTTAAAATGATGATGTTGCACAACTTGTAGAAAACAAAGAAGGGAAAGGGTTAATGTATTAAATGTGCTAAATTACATTAAGAACTTAATTTTATTAAAGTATTATTACTTAAGAAACTCGGGCTCTGCGCTTGCTTTCCGGTTGCTCCGGGCAATCCTCGAACCATGGGATGGGGTGGGATGAAGGGAGCTTGATGCTCCTGCAGCTCCGTGGGCAGGGAGCCCTTTCGGCACGGAACACGGCAGGGATGGGGCAGCCACAGCTTCTGGGTACCGGTGCCAGGGCTGACATCAGCCCTTGGCACCGCGGCTCGGTGCGGGTTTAATGCCAGTCACTCCCTTGGGGACAGCCACGAGACGTGGCCAAGGAGGGGTCTGGTCACCCCCCGGCTCATCCTGTGCTATGGGAGCAGGATCTGACCCCCAAGCCCTCCAGCAAGCCCCCTTCGTGCTGCCCCTTCTCGCCTCTCCCTCTTCCTGATGGGGATGCAGAGGTGGGATGCTGGCGGGACCGTGCAGTGATGGAGCCTCCAGCAGCAACGCCACAGGGGGAGTTTCCCATTCCCAGATTCCCATTGCAGGGATGAATCCCAGCCAATTGAGTGCTGGGGTGGGGTGGGGGGCAGCCACGGAGAGACAGAGACCCCCGGACCCTGCGCTGGGATGGGGACACGCACCCAGCACTATGGGGAATAGGGAGTGAAGCTGGGGCCACGGCAGGCAGGGGCTGGGGCCATCGGCACCCATGGGTGCAGCACCCGCTCCATCTAGTGGCAGCCCGGTTGTCACCAGCCCCACCACTGATGGCGCTTTGAGTGGGGCAGGATCGTGCCTCCGGGCAGGCAGAGCTGAGGGGTCCCATGTGCTGGCTCTGGCCATGCAGGGGGACCCCTGCCCACCCACAGCATCCCCTTGGCACCCCCCTTAGGGCTCCCCGAAAGGAGATGTCCCCAGCGGAAGGGATCCTAGAATCATGGAACCACCTCCGAGCTCATCTCCATCTCCCCTCCGGCAGGTTCAAGCCATTCCCCTTGTCCTGTCCCTACCTGCCCGCACCGGGGTGCCCCACGGCTGCCCCACCAGCACCCAGAGGCTCACCCAGCCCTTGACGCGGAAGGGGCAGGGCTGGGTGCAACCCAAAGAAGGGTGCACCCAATGTCCCCCTCCCCACCCTGCCCTGAAGGGCTGCACCCATGGATGCTTGCGCTTACTCAGTGCCACCCTGAGTCACCCCATGGCAGTGCCTTCAGGGCTAGAGGAAGCAGGGACACAAAGAGATGCCAGGTCCCAAACAACGAGGGAGAGAAGGGAGAGACCCTGGTGGGGTTTTCCCCCTGCTATTTGTGGAGGTCCTACATAAACACAGGGCGAGCGCGATGGTGCACGCAAGGGCAGCGATGCAGAAGCAGCCGCTGCGTCCGGAGGGAGCTGCAGCGAGCAGAGGTAGAGGGTGATAAAGGTGATGCCATCGCTTGGTGGGTGCTCTTGGGGGTGCTCAGATGTTCTGGCAGCAGGGTCCTTGCCTGCCCTCCTGCTGCGTGGGCAGCACCCGGATGGGCTCGATGCTGGTGCTGGGGCCGAACTCGGGCTCCGGTTGCCCCGGGATCTGCCGCTGGGACACGATGCGGTAAATCTCTGCCAGCAAAGGGGAGAAACAGGAGCTTGAAGGGAGGGTTTGAGTGGGGGACCCCCAAAACACACAGCTCCAAGGGGGCAAACGCCCTCATCTCCCCCCTGCCATGGGGAGCAGGATCCCACCGCAGCAGGGTCCTGGGAGAACACGGTGTCCAAAGCCACCCCCTTACCCGTGAGGATGGTATGGAACGCCGTCTCCACGTTGGTGGAGTCCAGAGCAGACGTCTCCAGGAAGGACAACCCATTCTTCTCTGCAAGGATGAAGGCGAGCTCATACCGGTGCCAAGATCCGCAGCTCCGGGATGGAGACGGGGACAGGGCAGGATGGGGAGCGGGTACCTGCAAAGCTCTTGGCCTCATCGGTGGGCACGGCGCGGAGGTGCCGCAGGTCGCTCTTGTTGCCCACCAGCATGATGACGATGTTGGCATCGGCGTGGTCCTGCAGCTCCTTCAGCCACCGCTCGGCGTTCTCGTACGTCAGGTACTTGGCGATGTCGTAGACGAGCAGAGCCCCCACGGCCCCACGGTAATAGCTGGGGCACAGCGAGGGGACGCGTCACAGCAGGGCCCTGCGGTGGGGAAACACCCCACGGGGAGGCGAGGGGGACTCACGCGGAGGTGATGGCGCGGTACCGCTCCTGCCCGGCCGTATCCCAGATCTGAGCCTTCACCGTCTTGTTCTCCACTTGGATGCTCCTGGTGGCAAACTCCACGCCGATGGTGCTCTTGCTCTCCAGGTTGAACTCGTTGCGGGTGAAGCGCGAGAGGAGGTTGCTCTTCCCCACCCCAGAGTCCCCAATGAGCACAACTTTTGGGGGGGGGGGACACAAGCACAGGGTCAGCCCCGCTGGACACCCACAACCACCTGAGAACACCCCTCGAGAGCGTTCCTGGACCTTGCCAGGAGTTCCCTGCCCAGCTCCAGGGATGGGAAAGCTCCATACACATAAAACAGGGAGGGGGGAAAGCAGAGGCAGGACCCATGTGGAGGCAGCCGGGCCAGAGAGGCCAAGCACAACCGGGTCTCCTCTGCAGCCCTGAAGGTGCACAGGAGACCTGGTCTGTAAAGAAGCATTTTCCTCCTCCTCCTCCTCTTCCTCCTCCTCCTCCCTGGCCGGTCCCTATGGAGCCCGGTGAGACAGGCTCCGGGACGCTTCATCTCGCAGCTCCCCCATCGAGTTTGTTGAGTTTATGACTCAAAGGGGTTGGATTTTGATGCTATTTAGTTATTTCTCAATGCCCTCGCTGATGATTCCGAGCATTCCCGGGTGCAGGGACACCCCCCGCGGGACCCAGCCTGGGGGCAGGATGCCGGGGGGGGTCTTACAGAGAAAGAAAGGACAAGGAGGACTCGAGCAGCATCCTCCACCCCGCGCACTAAAGCAGTCGGTGGGCTCTGGTCTTGCTGCCTCTGCGAGCATCACATCCCTGACACATCGCATCCCAGCCCGGAGGTGGGGATGGGAAGAGCCTGGAGCTCCAGGCAGGACCCCCACGGGAGGTTCCAATAAGCAGCCATGCCCTGGACTCACTTACTCTGAGCCCCCCAGCAGCACAAGGACCACAAACACCCCCCTCAGCAGCCACAACCATGGCATCAACCATCCCAAACCACAGCAGCAACCTCCATGCCAACAACGCCATCACCCACCTTCCCTGTGCCCATCTCCCCAGCAATCCCCCCCCCCCCGGTCCCCATCAACGGGATGCTCTGTGTTATATCCCAGTCTGCTCCAGCTCCATCCCAGGGGCACCGCAGGGAGGCTGAGACCGGGCTCAGCTCATGGCAGGCATGGCCAGCGCAGGAGACCCACCTTTGAAGAGGAAATCGTACTCATCGTCCTTGCCCCGCATCCTGCCCAGCGCCGCAGCCCCGATCCCACTGGGGGCAGGCTGGGATTTCCGGGCCTGATCCAGCCCTGGACGGGGCTGTTCCGTGCGCACTCGGAGGTGGCCACAGCCCTTCCTCCTCCCAAACCATTGGCTGCCGGGGCTGCCCATCACCGGGAAGGTGCCTTCACCTGGGCCAGGTAAAGGGGCAGGTATGGGGCTGCTCCCCGGCCCTGTGAGACCTACCCCCCCCCGGCCCTGCATCCTGCATCCAGCTCTGGAGCAACAGCACAAGAGGGACCACGGAGCTGCTGCGAGGGCTGGAGCATCCCTGCTCTGGAGCCGGGCTGGGAGAGCTGGGCTGGGGCAGCCTGGAGAAGAGAAGGGTCCTCAAGGGGAGACCTGAGAGCAGCTCCAGTGCCTGAAGGGGCTGCAGGAAACCTGGAGAGGGGCTTTGGGATGCAGGGACAGGATAAGGGAATGGCTTTAAGCTGCCAGAGGGGGATGGAGATGGGATCTTAGGCAGAAGTTCTTCCTTATGAGGGTTTGGGGACACTGGGATGGTTGAATGGAGAAGGTTTGGATGCCCCATCCCTGGCAGTGTTCAAGGCCAGGTTGGACACAGGGCTTTGGAGCACCCTGCTCCAGTGGAAAGGGGCCCTGCCCATGGCAGGGGCTGGAACTGGATGAGCTTTAAGCTCCCTTCCAAACCCACCCATCCCATGGTTCTATGGCAGCAGGGAAAGGCCACCAGTGTGGCTGCGTGCCACCAACAGCGACAGCCAGGGCCATGCTCTCCATGCAGAACCACAGATGTGAGATGGGAGCTGGGCTGCCTTGCCTTGCCCTATGCGAAGGGAAAGCAAGAGCCCAGAACTGGGGGAATCCAGCAGCAATTCTCCCATTTCCAAGCATTTTTGGATACCTGCCTGAGGCCAAGACGTGGTTTGGTGCCATGGGTTAGTGGTGCCCTTGGCAGTGCTTGGATCAGGTCATTTCCAACCTGGTTGATGCTCTAAGCCACCAAGGATGTGGGGACACGGAAAGGCTGCATGGGAAAGGGGACACAGGGGGACCATGGCCTTGGGTGCCCATATCCTGAAGCGCATCCCAGAGGTGGGGACCACAGTCCCGCAGGAATTCCAGCTCAGCAAGCCTGCCTTTCACAAGTCCTTTAATGATGGTGTCACCATCACACTGGACACGGAGCTGCTCCCGGGCCCCAGCACCCAGCTCTGCACCGCGCAGCCAGGAGGCACCTTCCCTGGGTCCTGCCATCACGCTTGCCCCACACATAGGATGGGGCCAGAGCTGCGCCAAGGGCTGAGCGCTGCCACTTGGCTCCGTAGGGCTCGGGATGGAGACGCGCTCGGACACCCACATCCTCGCGACACGGCCCCACGGGAGCAGCCCCAGGGGCCGGATGAGGGTCGCAGAGGCTCCCATGGCTGGGCAGGGGGTCCTGGCAGGCCCAGCTCTGCATCCTGGGGGTCCCCGGGGGGGGGCTGCACCCCTCAAATGGCCACGCAACACGGGCGCTTCTCCTCCTGTGCCGCGGCCGCGCTGCCAGCGCTCCCGCTGCCCAGTGCCACCGTGCTGGCTTGGCCGCTCCTCTGCTTCTGCTGCTGCACCTTGCGGAAGATCTCTGCAAAAGAAGGGGTGCCGGGGGGGGGGCAGAGGGGCCGTTGCTCGTTGCTCACCTTCGGACCGGTGCCGCTGCTTCCCCTCTGCGAGCTGAGGGGTTACAAGGAAGCAGCTCCCTCCCAGCCGCATCCTTGCGGCCCCACGGGAACACCCTGCGCTGGGGCAACTTCCTCTTGCCCAACCTGGAGGAGTGCTTCACCCCGGGCTGGGGCATGGCACGGCACAGCCCATGTCCCTGCCCTCCTGCCCCAGTGCACCCAGAGCTGCTCCTGCAGGAGCATCACCCCAGCTCCATCCCTGTGCCCCCATGTCCCTGCCCTCCTGCCCCAGTGCACCCAGAGCTGCCCCAGTGCACCCAGAGCTGCCCCATCTCCATCCCTGTGCCCCCATCTCCCTGCCCTCCTGCCCCAGTGCACCCAGAGCTGCCCCAGCTCCATCCCTGTGCCCCATCTCCCTGCCCTCCTGCCCCAGTGCACCCAGAGCTGCCCCAGCTCCATCCCTGTGCCCCCATCTCCCTGCCCTCCTGCCCCAGTGCACCCAGAGCTGCTCCTGCAGGAGCATCACCCCAGCTCCATCCCTGTGCCCCCCATCTCCCCACGGCAGGTTCCACAACGTGCTGGAGACGTTGAGTCAGGAGCCCAGGACAACAGGAAGGGAAACCAGAGATTACAGGGGAAGGAGCTCCAACTCCCCCCCGGAAATGGGGAATGCCCAAGGGGCCGGGAGAACAAAGCCAAGGGAGCTCCAAGTGGAACGCCCAACAGGAGAGCATGGAACCAAACCAGCCAGAAAGACCAGAAACCATCCCCAAAGGGCTGCCGTGGGGCAGGGCAGAGCAGAAGCACCGTACAGAGACCCAGTGAGGGTCCCCCAAGGTCCTGCTGCCCCCCAGGACCCCCCTGCAGCACGGTGCTGGTGCGTGTACCCGTCAGGATGGTCTCAAACGCCTGCTCGACGTTGGTGGAATCCAGCGCTGAGGTCTCCACAAACAAGAGCCCGTTGTTGTCTGCAATGAGAGGAGCCGATACAGAGCCGGGCCAGGGCACAGCTCTGCCCTGGAGCCCCTTTGGAGATGTCCAGGTGCCCACGTTGATGCAGGTCCCTGCTGTCAAGGGGGGGGTCCCCAAGCCCCCCAGTCCTTAGAGCAAGGTGCCAGCCTGTACCTGCAAACATCCTTGCCTCCTCCATGGGCACCTCCCGAGCCTGGGCCAGGTCAGTCTTGTTCCCCACCAGCATGACGACGATGCTGGGCTCAGCGTGGTCATAGAGCTCCTTCAGCCACCGCTCCACCACATCGTACGTCTGGTGCTTGGTGATGTCAAAGACAACCAGGGCACCCACAGCCCCCCGGTAATACCTGTGGCAGAACCTCAGCATCACCCATCTAACACACACACACACCCTCAGCATCTTCATCACCCGGGTACCACGGGCAGCCCCGCTTTTGGGTCTCGCATCCTTACGCGGAGGTGATGGCGCGGTACCGCTCCAGCCCGGCTGTATCCCAGATCTGCGCCTTCACCACGGAGTCTCCCACCAGGATGCTGCGCGTGGAGAACTCCACGCCGATGGTGGTGCGGCTGTCGTGGTTGAACTCATTGCGGGTGAAGCGGGACAGCAGGTTGGTTTTGCCCACCCCAGACTCCCCGATCAGGACGACTGAGGGAGGAAAGGAGGAATCCTGCTGGAGCTGCCGAGGAGGGGAAAAGGCTGCTCCGAGGAATCCCGCTAACCTGAGCCGGGCCAGCCAGATGCTTGGTGCCTCGGCAGGGTGGCCTCTGCACTGCCACAGGGTGCACGGGCATCCCTCATTGCCTGGGCAGTGATGACATGGAACATATCCTGCTGGGTATGTATAATGTGGGCAGGGATGTGAGGGTGCTGAGGCGCTGGCACAGGGTGCCCAGAGAAGCTGTGGCTGCCCCATCCCTGTGCTCAAGGCCACGTTGGACGCAGGGGTTTGGAGCATCCTGCTCCTGTGCTCCCAATGCTGTTCGAGGTGGGTCACAGCCACCAGGACCTGCTGGCAGCAGCAGGGTGAGGGTCACCCCTTCTCCATCCCTCCTTGCCCCAGGGGAGCCCCAAGGTGCAGCTGGTGGCACCCAGGACACCAGGACCTGTGCTTGAGGAGCACAAGCTGAGGGGGGGGACACGAGGCTGGGCCCCTGCTTCTCCAGCCCAGGTCTGACCCCCGTGTCCTCCACGTGCCACCACCCGCACCCAAGTGACTTTCAGGCACCCAGGTCAATGGGCTCATGCGGTGCTTCTCCCCCCCCATAGGGCCGCAGTGTGGGGTGCTCCCCGTGCCCCCACGGACCCTGGAGCCCTCCTCCCCAGCCCTGACCTCACTGGGGACACACCGGAGGCCGCATCCTGCTCGCTGACCTCCAGCCCCTTCACAGTTCCCGGGACACACGGTATCAGCCGAGCTGCTCAGCACCACAGTGCGGGGGGCACCCAATGAAGCCCCCGGTCCCCATCCCTCCGCCGTCCCTGCTCCATCCCTTCTGCGGCCACCGAGGGGCTCACCCTTGAAGACGAAGTTATAATCCTCCTCGGCGCTGCCCATGGCGCCCCGTTTCCTGCTTCCCAAAGCCGGCGGCTCCCGGAGGCACCGATGGGAGCCGGGAGGAAGGAGCAAAGTTTCCTTTGCGCTGCGGGGCCGGCGGAGCGGAGCAGCGCAACGCAACCGCCCTCGCTCGAGGGGTGGGACCGGGTGTCGCAGCGCACGTCGGGCAGGTAATGGCACCCATGGGACACGGCACGGGGCGGCCGGAGGAGGAGCTGGGGCCGGGCTGTGGAACCAGCGTGGGGCAAGCAGGGCAGGACGAGACCCCCCCCCCTCCACCTTCTCCCCGAGCTCCAATGGGTTCCGAGCGCGTTTCCTTGTCTCTGCTGCCATCGTGTGAAAGACGGCGAGAACGCGAAGGGGAAGGGCCCCCGCTGCCCCCCCATCGCCCCAGTGCGGCTGGGCAGGGGGGCTCCGCTAGACCCACTCCCCTTGCCACGGGCCCATCGCATCCCTTCTCGCCCCAAAGCCCCCCCCCCACTCCAGCTCCCTTCGTTCGCAAGAAGACACACAAAGGCCGCCAGCATCAGAGACACTTTTTATTCCTCCCCACCCACAGGTTCTTTTTGCAAAGGCACCCCGAGCTCTGGGGTCGCTGATCAGCACCAAACTTCACGGGGTGGCACCTCCAAGCGCTGCTCCAGCGCTCAGGATGCGGCCACTTGCGTGAGCGGCTCCTCCAGGTACTGGACCAGCGCCTGAGCCTGTGGGTGGCATGAAGAGGGCCGGGGGGGGGGTCACACACCCCACACCCCCACACCCCATGTGCTTCTGTTAGTTCATATCATTGTATGGGGGCTACAGGAAGAGGGGCTAGGGATGCAGGGACAGGACAAGGGGAATGGCTTTAACCTGCCAGAAGGGGGATGGAGATGGGATGTGGGGCAGAAGCTCTTCCCTGGGAGGGCGGTGGGACACTGGGATGGGTTGGATGGAGAAGGTTTGGATGTCCCATCCCTGGCAGTGCTGAAGGCCAGGTTGGACACAGGGGCTTGGAGCACCCTGCTCCAGCAGAAAGTGTCCCTGCCTGTGGCCTCAGATGAGCTTTAGGGTCCCTTCAACCCACCCCGTTCTGTGATTCCATTCTATGGTGGCTCCTCCACCACCCCCATCCTCACCCTAATCTGCTCCTTCTCACCCCACAGCACAGACACGGCCCTGTGCCCCTCTGGCCCCCTCCCTGCCAGCATTACCTTGGCCTTCAGCATCCCAAATCCAACCGTCTCCTTCGCATACATGCAGAGCAGCAGGTTCGCCACCCGCGTGATGGCCACTCGCCCCTCCTGCCCAGGGAGAAACAGCACCCATCGCACCCAAAGCTTGATCCCGCGGGATCCCAGAGCCACCCCCTCGGTGTGGGGACACGACAGCAGTCCCCAGCCCCACGTACCATGCAGTCCATGAGGATGAATTTGAGGTTGTCCTCATTGAACGCCTGGTGCCCGTTCTTGTCATAGGCCACCCAGATGTTGCTGGCGATGGCCGCGGTGACCCTGGCATCGGTGTCCCCATAGCCTGAGTAGGCGAGCAGGGACCCCTCATTGTTCAGGAGCCTGTAAATGAGATGTGGGGGGTGTGTGTGGGGGAGTGGATTGGTGCCTCTAAACCCAGTGGGGCACCAGACCCCATCACAGCCCCCCCCCCCAAGCCCAGCATTGCTGCGGAGCAGGCACGAGCCTGGTGGGCAAGTACCATGCATGGTCCTGGTGCAACCGTGCATCATGTACCATGTATGGTTCTGTCACTGTGCAGCATGCACTGCACATCCTGCCATCTCCCCAGCACCCCAAACTGTGCTCCCTGCACCTCCCCAGCACCCTGCACTGTGCTCCCTGCATCTCCCAGTGCTCTGCAGCTCCCCAGCACCCCGCACTGTGCTCCCTGCATCTCCCAGTGCTCTGCAGCTCCCCATCACCCCAAACTGTGCTCCCTGCACCTCCCCAGCACCCCACATCTCCCCATCACCCCACACTGCGCTCCCTGCACCTCCCATCACCCCACACTGTGCACCCCGCACCTCCCAGCACCCCACATCTCCCCATCACCCCGCACTGTGCACCCCGCACCTCCCAGCACCTCACATCTCCCCATCACCCCGCACTGTGCACCCCGCACCTCCCAGCACCCCACATCTCCCCATCACCCCGCACTGTGCACCCCGCACCTCCCAGCACCTCACATCTCCCCATCACCCCGCCCTGTGCACCCCGCACCTCCCAGCACCCCACATCTCCCCATCACCCTGCACTGCACATCCTGCACCTCCCATCACCCCACACTGTGCACCCCGCACCTCCCAGCACCCCGCATCTCCCCATCACCCCGCACTGCACATCCTGCATCTCCCATCACCCCCCACTGCACCCCGCACCTCCCAGCACCCCACATCTCCCCATCACCCCGCACTGTGCACCCCGCACCTCCCAGCACCCCACATCTCCCCATCACCCCGCACTGTGCACCCCTCACCTCCCAGCACCCCGCATCTCCCCATCACCCCGCACTGTGCACCCCTCACCTCCCAGCACCCCGCATCTCCCCATCACCCCGCACTGCACATCCTGCATCTCCCATCACCCCACACTGTGCTCCCTGCACCTCCCAGCACCCCCCACTGCGCTCCCTGCACCTCCCATCACCCCCCACTGCGCTCCCTGCATCTCCCAGCACCCCGCATCTCCCCAGCACCCCGCACTGCACATCCTGCATCTCCCAGCACCCCACACTGCGCTCCCTGCATCTCCCAGCACCCCACATCTCCCCATCACCCCACACTGCGCTCCCTGCATCTCCCAGCACCCCACATCTCCCCATCACCCCACACTGCACATCCTGCACCTCCCAGCACCCCACACTGCGCTCCCCGCACCTCCCAGCACCCCACATCTCCCCATCACCCCGCACTGCACATCCTGCATCTCCCAGCACCCCACACTGTGCTCCCTGCATCTCCCAGCACCCCCCACTGCGCTCCCTGCATCTCCCAGCACCCCACATCTCCCCAACACCCCAAACTGTGCTCCCTGCATCTCCCAGCACCCCGCATCTCCCCAGCACCCCACACTGCGCTCCCTGCATCTCCCAGCACCCCACATCTCCCCGCACCCCACATCTCCCCAACACCCCAAACTGTGCTCCCTGCATCTCCCAGTGCTCTGCAGCTCCCCAGCACCCCGCACTGTGCTCCCTGCATCTTCCAGCACCCCACACTGCACTCCCTGCATCTCCCAGCACCCCACATCTCCCCATCACCCCACACTGTGCTCCCTGCATCTCCCAGCACCCCACATCTCCCCATCACCCCACACTGCGCTCCCTGCATCTCCCAGCACCCCGCACCTCCCCATCACCCCACACTGTGCACCCCGCACCTCCCCATCACCCCACACTGTGCACCCCGCACCTCCCAGCACCCCGCATCTCCCCATCACCCCACACTGTGCACCCCGCACCTCCCAGCACCCCGCATCTCCCCATCACCCCACACTGCGCTCCCTGCACCTCCCAGCACCCCACATCTCCCCATCACCCCGCCCTGTGCACCCCGCACCTCCCAGCACCCCACATCTCCCCATCACCCCACACTGCGCTCCCTGCACCTCCCAGCACCCCGCACCTCCCCATCACCCCACACTGCGCTCCCTGCACCTCCCAGCACCCCACATCACCCCATCACCCCGCACTGCACATCCTGCATCTCCCAGCACCCCACACTGTGCTCCCTGCATCTCCCAGCACCCCACATCTCCCCATCACCCCGCACTGTGCACCCCTCACCTCCCAGCACCCCGCATCTCCCCATCACCCCGCACTGCACATCCTGCATCTCCCAGCACCCCACACTGTGCTCCCTGCATCTCCCAGCACCCCCCGCTGCGCTCCCTGCATCTCCCAGCACCCCACATCTCCCCATCACCCCACACTGCACATCCTGCACCTCCCAGCACCCCACATCTCCCCATCACCCCACACTGTGCACCCCGCACCTCCCCATCGCCCCGCACCGCGCCCCCCCCCCCCGGGCCCCTCCCGGCTCCCCCCGCAGCCCCTCCCGGTCCCGGTCAGCGCCGGTTCCCCGCTCACAGCGTGCTCTGGACGCCGCCGGTGTTGGCCTGGCTCAGCACCTGCGTGAGGGCCTTGGGGCGCAGCATGGCCGCGCCCGCTCCGCTCCGCTCCGTTCCGCTCCCCGAGAGCAGCGGGGCCGGGGCAGGGCGGAGCCGGGCTCGCCTCGGAGCACGCCGGGACTCGTAGTTCCCGGTGCCCCGGAGCCCGGAGCCTGGGTCCCCGGGGCGGGGGGAACGCGCCCGGACACCCCGGGGGTCACGGTGGAGGGCGGCGGAGCCCCCAGGAGCGGGGTCCAGCCCCGGCCGGGAGTGGGAGCGCTGGGAGAGGAGTCAGGGAAGGGGGGGAGCTGGAAAAGGGGGTGCGGGATGGAGGCAGCTTGGGGGGGTGCAGCCCCCATGGAAGGGGTGCGGGATGGGGGCGGGCAATGGGGGTCAACAGGGATCCAGTGGTGGGGGTGCGGGATGGATCCGTAATGGGGGTTCAGGATGGATCCAGTAATGCGGGTGCAGGATGGATCCGTAATGGGGGTTCAGGATGGATCCAGTAATGCGGGTGCAGGAGGGATCCGTAATGGGGGTGCAGGAGGGATCCAGCTCATGGGGAGTGCAGGATGGATCCGTAATGGGGGTGCAGGGGGGATCTGTAATGGGGGTTCAGGATGGAGCCGGTAATGGGGGTGCAGGGTGGATCCGTAATGGGGATGCAGGAGGGATCCGTAATGGGGGTGCAGGAGGGATCCAGTAATAGGGATGCAGGAGGGATCCGTAATGGGGGTGCAGGAGGGATCCGGTCATGGAGGTGCAGGAGGGATCCAGTAATGGGGGTGCAGGAGGGATCCAGTAATGGGGGTTCAGGAGGGAGCCAGCTCATGGGGGGTGCAGGAGGGATCCGTAATGGGGGTGCAGGAGGGATCCGTAATGGGGGTTCAGGAGGGATCCGTAATGGGGGTGCAGGAGGCATCCGTAATGGGGGTTCAGGAGGGATCCGTAATGGGGGTGCAGGAGGGATCCGTAATGGGGGTTCAGGAGGGATCCAGCTCATGGGGGTTCAGGATGGATCCAGTAATGGGGGTTCAGGATGGATCCAGTAATGGGGGTTCAGGATGGATCCGTAATGGGGGTGCAGGATGGATCCAGTAATGGGGGTTCAGGATGGATCCAGTAATGGGGATGCAGGATGGATCCGTAATGGAGGTTCAGGATGGATCCGTAATGGGGGTGCAGGAGGGATCCAGCTCATGGGGGTTCAGGATGGATCCGTAATGGGGGTGCAGGAGGGATCCAGTAATGGGGGTTCAGGATGGATCCGTAATGGGGGTGCAGGAGGGATCCAGTAATGGGGGTGCAGGAGGGATCCGTAATGGGGGTTCAGGATGGATCCAGTAATGGGGGTGCAGGAGGGATCCGTAATGGGGGTTCAGGATGGATCCGGACCACGACCTCCCTCCGCCCCGTTCCTGCCGTTGCAGCCGCCGCCGCACTGCAGGTTCCCGCCGCTCCGCCAGGGGGCAGTGTTGCCATCGCGGCAGAGGAGGGGGGGGGGCGGACGGACGGACCGTGGCGCCGCTCTCTCTCCACGTCTCTGTGTCGGCGGCCCGGTCTGGCGGGGCGGGCGGCGAAAATGGCGGAGCCGAGCGGCGGCGGCGGCGGAGGAGGAGGGCCCGGCCCCGGTGGGGAGAGCGAGGCGGGCCCCGGTGGGGCTCTCATCCGCGTCACCGTGAAGACCCCTAAGGACAAGGAGGAGATCGTCATCGCGGACGGCGCCTCCGTGCGCGAGGTGGGGGCCTGGGCCGGGCCGGGGCTGCGGGGTTGGGTTGGGGGGGGGGGGGGTCGGGAGCGGGACATGGGGACGGGGAGGGGGGGGTTGAAGGAGCCGGCGGGGATGGGAAGTGGGGGGGACGTGGGTTTAGGGCGGAGGGGGGAGCGGGGGGGGGGGTGTGGGGCACCCCCGGCCTTCGGGGCCTTGTGCGAGGCCGGCTTGGAGGGGCGGGGAGGGGTGGGTGAGGGATGGGGTCTGGGGGGGAGCAGGCCTTGGGTGTGGGGGGGGCGGTGGCTGTGGGGCAGGGTTGGGGAGGGGGTGAGGTCGGGGGGGGTCTGCAGAGGGAGGGGAGGCTTGGGAGGGAAGGGGGCTGGGGGGGGGGAGCGGAAGGGGGCTGTGGGGCAGAGCTGGGTGAGGCCGTGTGGGGCTGCGTGGGGTGGGGGGGGCAGAGGAGAGGAGCTCGGCAAGGCTTTGGCTGAAGGGAGCAGAGGGAAGGGAGCAGCCGCCCCTGTGTGGGCTTGGGGGTGAGCTTCATAGGGGGTGAGCTTCATAGGGCTGAGCTTCATAGGGGTGAGCTTCATAGGGGGTGAGCTTCATAGGGGTGAGCTTCATAGGGGTGAGCTTCATAGGGGTGAGCTTCATAGGGGTGGGCTTCATAGGGGGTGAGCTTCATAGGAGTGAGCTTCATAGGGGTGAGCTTCATAGGGGGTGAGCTTCATAGGGGGTGAGCTTCATAGGGGCTGAGCTTCATAGGGGTGAGCTTCATAGGGGTGAGCTTCATAGGGCTGAGCTTCATAGGGCTGAGCTTCATAGGGGTGAGCTTCATAGGGGTGAGCTTCATAGGGGTGAGCTTCATAGGGGCTGAGCTTCATAGGGGTGAGCTTCATAGGGGTGAGCTTCATAGGGGCTGAGTTTCATAGGGGGTGAGCTTCATAGGGGTGAGCTTCATAGGGGCTGAGTTTCATAGGGCTGAGCTTCATAGGGGTGAGCTTCATAGGGGCTGAGCTTCATAGGGCCTGGCTCCAGCACTGCCCGGTGCCTGTGCCCACTGGGCCACGGTGTCATGGGCACGGCTCTTGGCTTGCTCTGGGCTAGAGGGAGGGCACAAGGTGATGGCGTGAAAGGCCTGGAAGAGAGCAGAGCCCTGGGGTAGGCAGGGGCTGGAGGCCTCCTGCTCCTGCCCCGTCAGCTTCGGGAGAGCAGCATGAGGCCAGGGCTGGCGTTGTGCTGGGAAGGCTGTGAGCTCCTCCATTGCTTTCCTTTTCCTTTCCTTTTCCTTTCCTTTTCCTTTCCTTTTCCTTTCCTTTTCCTTTCCTTTTCCTTTCCTTTTCCTTTCCTTTTCCTTTCCTTTTCCTTTCCTTTTCCTTTCCTTTTCCTTTCCTTTTCCTTTCCTTTTCCTTTCCTTTTCCTTTCCATCCCAGCCTTTTGCTGTGAATCCCCTGCAGTTTGTGGCTTCCCAATGCAAGGCTTTCCTTGAGGGGAAATCAACCTGGGCAATGCCCCAGCTGGGTTAGCAAGGGCAGGCTTCGTTCCACCCCATCCCGCAGGAAAGAAGAGGTGTCCGTGTGGCGTAGCGTGCTCACCAGGAATTCGGTTGCAGGAATAGGAACTGGAGAAGACCTAGTTTATTTCCATTGGCTGAGAAAGGATTGTTCCCTTTTCCATAGAGCCCTGGCCTGTATTAAAGCCGAGTTGGGCTTTCCTTAGGAAAAACCTCAAGCAGAGGCAGAAACAGTTCAGTGATTGGGAAGCTGGAAGGGGGGGGGGTATTTGGATTAGGTCTGAGATACACGCTTGGAACCCTGCAGCAAACATCCTCAGCAGCTTGCTTGGTACCTGCATGGGCTCCTTTTGGGTGAGGTGCTGAAGGCCTGGTGGTTCCTCCCACTGTTTCCTTCGTGGATGCACTACCTGGAGGACGAGCGTCCCCTCGCTGCTCCTTTTGCCTGAGCGATGCTGTCTTTGGGGTTTGCTTTCAGTTCAAAGAAGAGATTTCCAGGCGGTTTAAAGCCAAACAGGATCAGCTGGTTCTGATCTTCGCCGGGAAGATCCTGAAGGATGGAGACACTTTGAATCAACATGGGATCAAAGATGGGCTGACTGTGCACTTGGTCATCAAGACTCCCCAGAAGTAAGGAATTGCTTTGGGTTGGGGGCTGAGGGTAAATGGATGATGCAGGGAAATCATGGGGGGGGGGGACACACACGTTTCTGCCCCATTGGTGGCTGAAGTACTTGTTTGGTGGTGGTCATCCATGAGGAGATGGATCCCAGCTCTCTCCCTGCAGTGGGTTTATCCCTAGGTCTCTCTTTCTGCTAGGTTACACAGCTGGGTAAGTTGGTGGCAAGTGCCTGAGGGGGTTGCCTCTTTGTTAACCCAACTCCTGTATTTTGAGCCTTTATAACTTGGGAATCTTGAAAGAACCCCGCAGAACTTGATGCCAGTTCCAGCCAAGAGAAGATGCTGCTGACAGAAGTTGCTTTCTCAGTGGCTTTGTGTTGAAATGGAAACTAACACCCAGTTTTTCTTACCCTTCCTCTCGTGTCCTCTGCTCTGAGCCTGTGCTCGGGCTCTCTCAGGTGCTGTGGGAGGCACACCATGTGTGCAGAGCACTCTGTGAGGCAGAGCAGTGCCTCGGTGTGGTACCCAGGGCCATGTCTGCAGGGGCAGAGAGGTGGGTGCTGCACCTTGAGGGGAGGCTCAGGCCACGTGCATGCAGCAGGCTCCCCCCTTGGCGCTCCCAGGTTGAGCTCCCTCATGGCCATCTGAGAAAGGGACACAGGATTGATCCCTGCAGAGCTGGGCTCTTCGCAGTGCTATCCAAGGGAGCCCAGAAGGTTCTAGGGAACAGTCGCTGTGCCTCACAGTGATGTGCAGCCACATCTTACTGATCTCAACCCCCCCTTCACAACCATTTCTGGGGCTCCCTGCTGCAGCCTCATCAGGCTCCCTGGGGGCTGTGGCTCTTTGTGTGGTTCTTATTGGCTTCCTGAAGATTAGAGCCTTCTTTTCTTTCCCCCCTCTCCTTTACAAAGCCATGTGTATTGTCAGCTTCTGCAGGAGGCCTCTCTCTGGATTCAGCATCTCCAGGTAGCCTGGTGCTGTTTGCTGCTGGCTGTTTCAAAGGGGAAACAAGAGCTTTCCTGGGCTGCTCGTTCTTGTTTTCCCCTTCTGGTAGTCATAGGCAAGTGCTGACTGGGAGCATCACAGCCTCTTCCTGGCTCAGTGAAACCAAGTGACCTTTCTCTAGCTTCCTCCTTCCTCTTTTGTTCAGCTTCCTATTTGCTTTGTTTCCCCATTCTCTGCCTCCTGGTTTTGGGCTGAGGCTGGAACGTGGACAGGGCCCTTCAGGTTTGATGTTTAAAGCCCTGGAATAAGAGTGAAAAAGGAAAAGGAGTTTGAGAAAGGTGGGTTTTTCGGGGGGGGGAGGGGGAACCCCAACTTGTCAGTGGCATAATAGCATCACTTGGGATGAGTAAAGTGAATTTGGGGTTTGAGTAATGCTGATGCTTATTTTTGCCCTCAGGAGCACTGATGGGAATATTCAGTGCATGGGAGGGTTTGCAGAGCACCAGATCCTTGTTTCCCCCATGCACTAGCCCTGCTGTAACCTCCTGTGGTTTCTGTGGGAGCAGCAGGAGGATTTTCCTGTTTGGAGCAAATTCATTGCTCAGGGATATAGCTGAGGTAAAGAGTTCAGTGGGATTCAAGGAAGAGTTGGATATAACTGGGGGTAAGACCAGTCAAACCACTTTGCGTGGGGCAGAATAAAGATATCAGGGGCTGTTCTGCAGCAGGATGGGAGGCAGATTCCAGCTAGATGGAAGGCATCTGGGAGCACAGCTGTGGATCCATCCGTGCAGGTGGGAATGTGGGGCTGATTGGCTGGGGCCATGCACAGAGGACTCCGCTCCCCCTTCCTGCATCTCTGGAGTTTAATGCTGCCTTTCTGGTTTCTTTGCAGGGTCCAAGATTCAACATCTGCTGCTTCTGCCCCCAATGCTGCTTCTGCCCCCAGTGCAACCCCTTCTTCTCCTGCTGCCCCGTCTCAGCCTTCCACATCCAGCAGCACCGGTTCCGACGGCGGCAGTGGCAGCAGGCGGAGCAGTGGCTCAGGGACCATGGGAGGTCCTGGAGATGGAGGCCCTAATAGTGCTCCATCCATCCTGTGTAAGTGATGGCTGTGAGGTGTGGCACCAAAGAAGAGGTTCCTAGGACTGCCCCAGGGACTTGGGGTTCTTGAGCCCTGTAGCTGTCTCTGCTTGCTGTAGGTGTCACGGGAGTTACTTCCAGCAGCGTGCCTCAGTTTCCCTGCTATGGGTGATGCCAAAGCCCTTCGTGTATCATGTTTAGGGGGTGTTCTCCCTCAGAGCTGGCTGCTACAGGGATATAGACTACCTCTAGATCAGTGTGGGTGCTTGTCCTCTTGCAGCTGCTGACAGTTACTGACTCACCCTTCTCACCGTGTGTTGTTCCCTCTCCAGCTGGCTTTGGTGGCATCACTGGGTTGGGCAACCTTGGGATGGGCTCTGCCAACTTCATGGAGCTTCAGCAGCAGATGCAGCGGCAGCTGATGTCCAACCCGGAGATGCTTTCTCAGATAATGGAGAATCCCTTGGTGCAGAACATGATGTCTAACCCCGACCTCATGAGGCAGATGATCATGGCCAATCCCCAGATGCAGCAGCTCATGGAGCGGAATCCAGAGATAAGCCACATGTTGAATAACCCAGAGCTCATGAGGCAGGTGAGGCACGTGCCAGGGCCTGTGGAAAGCATGTTCAAGAGCATCTTTGTGGACCAGCTTCCAAAGGGAGTGTGTGATGCCAGATCAGTGATTTTCAAGATCTCTTCCTTCCTGCTGTAAGCTCCCCACAAACAGATGGTGGTCTTGAGTTATGTGAATACTGAGTACTCAGCCCACATACTTGCAACTCTCATCTTCCTTTCAGGGCTATTGAATCCATCATGTGTTGGGCAGAATAAGGATATTGGGATCATCCTAATGTGCTGCATAGAAAGTGTTGTGTTCTCAGTCAGGAATGGGAGGAAAAGCAGGCACAAACAAGTGAAGCTACTGCAAAAGCTTTTTGTTTCTCTCTGTTTCTCTGGATAAACTATAGACTACAGAGCTGCACAGTCAGTGTTTTACTACCTGTAGCAGAGCAGGGAGCACTGGTTGTAGGCTGGAATCCTAAAGGTTTCCATACAATCCTAGAACAAAGGGAACCCATTCCCTGGAGGAGTGGAAGATGGAAGGTTCATCGGAAAGGGAGCGTAAGGGATGAGTGTGAGAGCCTGAGTGTTAAACAGCCCCTGACAGGTCTCTGCTGTCCCCAGGGAGCCTTGTCAGAAGGTCTTTCTGGGTTGTTGCTCAATGAGCCTGGCTTCCATCTGCTTCTCAGTTATCTTTCAACTGTGTCAGCCACACATGAAGGTCCAGAGGTGCAGGACCAAACTGCCTGAGCAGCACCTCAGATGGGGTTTGGAGGTTTCTTCTGCAGAGGAGACCCATCAGAACTTTGGAGAGGGTGAATGTCTTGGGTTTCTTGTAACGGGAAGGATCCAGTCTCTTCCACCTTCTCAGCTGTTGAATGCAGTCCATCTCCTTTGAGTGGGAGCATATGGGTGTTAAATGTTTGGATGTTCCGATAGTGCTTAGAAACAAAACAATCTCCTCCAGCTGAGCTGAGGCTGGGAAGGAAGAGCTGAGCAGGGATGGGAGGAGCCAGGATCCGGGGCTCTCTTTGCTTGGATAAATGATCTCTCTGCTCCCTGGCTGTGAAATGGGTTTAATTATACTCTTTCTCCTGGGAGCCCAGCTTTAACTCTTTCAGCACTTGGTTGCTGGATCAGTAGAATACCCCTGGGCTGCTCCCCACTCTCTTAATCCATTCCAGCCTTCCCCACTGCACTTGGGCCTGAGCTTTCCACATTTTCCTCCTTCTCCCAGACAATGGAATTGGCTCGTAACCCTGCCATGATGCAGGAGATGATGCGGAACCAGGACCGTGCTTTGAGCAACCTCGAGAGCATTCCAGGAGGATACAACGCCCTGCGCCGGATGTACACGGACATCCAGGAGCCCATGTTCAGTGCAGCCAGGGAGCAGGTATGGGCTGTGGGGTTTAGATACAAGGAAGAAGTTCTTTACTGTGAGGGTGCTGAGGCCCTGGCACAGGTTGTTGGCAGTGGTAAATGCTCCATCCCTGGCAGTGTTCAAGGCCAGGCTGGGCATGGCTTGGAGCAATCTGATCTAATGAAAGGTGTCCCTGCTTGTGGCAGGGGGCTGGGGCTGGGTGAGCTTTAAGGTCCCTTCCAGCCTCAACCCATCTGGGATTCTATGGCTGCTCTGCATGATAAAGGCAGCCACTAACTGCAGGACGTTGTGCAGTGCCTGTCATCTGCTTTGGTGTATGTGAGCAGAGCCCTGCCCTGGCTCCTTTGGTCTGCAGGCAGGCTGGATGCCAGCCATCACCTCTGGGAAGCTTCGTTAGCACAGCCCTCTGCTCTCAACCTGGCTTACTTATTAGCTCAGGCCTGATGCCTTTGGATTGGAGCTGGCTGAGCTCCAGCTGGCTTGAAGCACAGGAGGAGGGAGCACAGGTCTGTCTGCAAAAGGCTCTGCAGATGTACTCCAGTCTAACATTACCTACTGGTATGGCTGGGGGCTGGCTTGACAGGGGTCTTTGGAAGCCTTGCATTTGGGAGCCAAATCTGGGGCTGTGGCCACTCCTTGAGCCTGGTCTTTTTCTGAGGGAGGTGTGTTGTAGATACACATTTCTCAGGAGGCAAATTACAGCATGAGCTCAGCAAGTTCTGGCCCTGGATGAATGTGCTGGTCTGTTCCCCAGCTCCTGCACAGGTGGGTTTAGTCTGACGTTCTCTGCTGGGACTAACTGATCGTGGTTCTCCTTTTCTTCTTTTTCCCTAGTTTGGCAACAATCCTTTCTCTTCCTTGACGGGGAATTCTGAGAGCTCCAGCTCGCAGCCTTTGCGGACGGAGAACAGAGAACCATTACCTAACCCCTGGAGCCCTACACCTCCTGCTTCCCAGAGCCAGGCGCCCAGCAGCGAAGGCAGCACTGGCTCAGCAGGCACCCAGAGCACACCGACTGTATCCAACCCCTTTGGGCTGAATGCTGCTAGCATTGGGGCTGGTACGTAGGCAAGAGAGGAGCCAGGGGATGCTACTGCCTGAGCAAGTCAGCCAGGCTTCCCGGGCTGGGGGCAGCTCCCTGTGGCATTCAGGTGCCTGTCTGTGGCTGCTCTCCAGATGACTGATTCCAGCCCAGCTTCAAGCACAACTGGGTTATTTCTGCTGTGCCCTGTTAGGAAGTTGCTTTGGGAATTCCAATGTCCCTGCAGCCCACAGGAGCATGGGAGAGTGGCAAGCAAAGCACTGCCGTGGCTGTCCACAGCCATAGTCCCTGTTGGCATGGGGATGAAGTGAAAACATTGCTGTTGTGTGCGTTGCAGCAGTGCTCAAGCTTGTATAAGAGGTTTTCCTTTGTCTTCTCTTCCCTTTCCCCTTGCAGGGATGTTTAACAGCCCAGAGATGCAAGGACTCCTGCAGCAGATTTCGGAAAACCCTCAGCTGATGCAGAACATGATCTCTGCCCCTTACATGAGGAGCATGATGCAGACTCTTGCCCAGAACCCGGACTTTGCAGCACAGGTAAAAGCACTGCAGTTGTCTTCTGTCATGAGCCGGGCTGTGCTCGCAGTGCTTGTGCTTGCTTCTCTAGTTGGAGTGGTTCCTCAAGCAGAGAGCTCAGGGAGTACAGACAGTTTTGATGTATTTCTCAGTTGCTTGAAGGCTTCCACAGTACTGACCCTGGTGTCTTAGCAGAGCCCCTAACAAAAAAGGTGGCTTTCAAAGGGACATGGGAATGGCCCTTCTCTTTGCCCATGGCCACTGTTCAGCACAGCTGCCAGGAACTGAGCTGGCCCTGTTTCAGTCCCCTTTAGCAGGGGAACATGTTGAAAGCCCAGGGAGGGAGTCAGGGGCATGACTGACTTGTTCTTCGTGGCTTAGTTACATAGGGCTTAACAGCCAGTGGCAGCAACCCTCTGACCCTACCTACGTGTGCTGTCTCTTGCTAGATCATGGTAAATGTCCCCCTCTTTGCTGGGAATCCACAGCTTCAAGAACAGCTCCGCCTTCAGCTCCCTGTCTTCCTGCAGCAGGTAAAGGCCTCTGTCTGGCCCTGTGCTGCTCTCAGCCCCAGGGCTCCAGAGCTTCTCCATCCTCTGTAGGAAAGGGGGAGTCTGGGCTGCTCAGTCAAGTGGACTAGGAAGCATGTGGGCTGGGGTGGCATGGGCTGTGAAGGAAAGGGGTTTGCACAGGAAAAGCCTGTTTAGAGAAGGCAGCCTGCAGTAAGTCGTGTACATTACCTAAAGGTGGACTTGAGGGTAGTTGAGCTCCATGAAACCCCCCTGGGGCCAGCCTCTCACTGTAACAAGGTTACAGAAAGGAAAACAGCAAATTGTGCTCCAGCAGCTGCTTCATTCCGGTAAATGAGAGAAAATCCCTTGCATTCCCAAGGCCTGTGCCCCCAGTTCTAATCTGATTTCACCCAGTTCCTTTAGGAAGTTGGCTCTAAACCCTGAAGGAGCTCTCTAGGTGAGCCCTGCAGCCTGGAGACTTGGAGGAGGAACCAGGCTCGCAGGTTGGCTGTTGGCTGCAGGGCGAGAGGCACAGCTCTGCTCTTTGCTGCTCAGGTGTGAAGCTGGAGGCTCCCTGGCCGCCCGAGCTCTCGCTGTTTGGTACCTCTGTGTCTTTGTGCCTTTGTTCCCAGATGCAGAACCCAGACTCCCTTTCCATTCTCACCAACCCCCGCGCCATGCAGGCGCTCCTCCAGATCCAGCAGGGACTCCAGACGCTGCAAACGGAGGCCCCAGGACTAGTGCCAAGGTAACAAGTGCTTCTGAGTGGGTTTCTGCAGGCAGAGCTCCCTGCCAGCAGGCAGAATAGCTGCTGATTGATGGAGATCTGCCTGGGGCACTGTCATGGTGCGTGCAGAGCTCCGAGTTGCAGCTGATGAGCGCTTCCTGCTTGTTTGTCCTACACGTGGCAAGTCTTTGACCCTGTGATAAAGCTGGAGAAGGGCTTTTGGCAAGGAGCATGTAGTGATAGGACAAGGGGAATGGCTTTAACCTGCCAGAGGGGAGACTGAGATGAGCTGTTAGGGGGAGGCTCTTCCCTGTGAGGGTGGTGGGACACTGGGATGGCTTGAACGGAGAAGGTTTGGGTGCAGTGTTCAAGGCCAGGTTGGACACAGGGGCTTGGAGCAAGCTGCTCTAGTGGAAGGTGTCCCTGCCTGTGGCAGGGGGTTGGAACTGGATGAGCTTTAAGGTCCCTCTTCACCCCACATCACTCTGGAATTCTTTCTTTTGGAACCCACTTCCCATCTCTTGCTTGCTGTAGTTGGTAGCAGCTGCGCTCACGAGTTTCCTCTCTGTGTACAGCAGGAGATGCAGAGGGTGGGTGGGTGGGTTGGGGCAGGGTGGTGTGTGAGCAGCCCTTCTGCTCCCTGGCAGCATGGCTCTCCTTCAGGCTCTGTAGCTCCCTTCAGGCCCATTGCTCCCTCCCAGCACCACGTGTGAGCAGCTTACAAACAAATCTCCCTAAGGGGCAGCCTGGCAGAGCCTGGAGAGGGGGGGTGTTCCCAGCCTTCAGGGGACACCCCCAAGTGCCAGCCTGCTTCTGAGCAACCCCTTGCCTTCCTCTGCAGCCTCGGCTCCTTCGGCATGCCTCGAATGCCCCCGTCCTCCACAGGAGGAAGCACAATCCCGGAGAACCCCGTTCCCTCCGCTTCGACGCCGGCCAGTGCCTCTCCAGCCGGGGCTGGGAACCCCCAGCAGCAGCTCATGCAGCAGATGATCCAGCTGCTGGCCGGAGGAAGCTCTCAAGTATGTAATGCCCAGCTACATGGCCATGCACTGCTGGGGGGTGGCCATCTCCAGGGGGAGGTAGAGGTTGGCCCCCATCCCACCCCATTCCTGGGATGTGGTCCCCAGCAGGTTTCTCTGGTGCTTTGTGCCGAGGTGGTTCAGGGTGGCTTCAGGGTGCAGTAACCCTTTGGAGAGGTTTGGAGCCAAGAGTGGCAGGGATCCTCCTCCTCCAGCGCTGCTGCGTGGCTGCTGTTGCCAGACTGGGTAACATCAGTGAACTGTGCAGTTCTGGTGTCCCCACCATCAGAAGGACATGGTTGGAGCATACAGAGGAGGCCATGAGGATGAGCAGGGGCTGGAGCAGCTCCGGTATGGAGACAGCTTGAGAACATTGGGGCTGTTCAGCCTGGAGAAAAGAAGCTCCACGGAGACCTCAGAGCAGCTTCGAGGGTCTGAAGGATGCTGGAGAGGGGCCTTCATCAGGGATGGTAGCAGCAGGACAAGGGGTGATGGGTTCAGACTGAAACAGGGGAGATTTAGGTTGGATCTAAGGCAGAAGCTCTTCCCTGTGAGGGTGCTGAGGCACAGGGTGCCCAGAGAAGCTGTGGCTGCCCCATCCCTGGCAGTGTTCAAGGCCAGCTTGGACACAGGGGCTCGGAGCACCCTGCTCCAGTGGAAGGGGTCCCTGCCCGTGGCACTGGATGCGATTCAAGGTCCCTTCCAACCCAAACCAGTGTGGGATTCTATGAGTGAGCCTGAAGTATTTCAGTGCACCTGAAGCTGAGCCCGTGCTCCCTGCCTGGCCGTCGCTGCCCGTTCTGGGTGCTGCTCTTTGCTCTCTGAGTCTGAAGGTCTTTGTCCTTTCCCTCTGCAGGCGCAGAGCCCTGAAGTGCGATTCCAACAGCAGCTGGAGCAGCTGAATGCCATGGGCTTCATTAACCGTGAGGCCAACCTCCAGGCTCTTATTGCCACTGGTGGAGACATCAATGCAGCTATTGAGAGACTGCTGGGCTCCCAGCCCTCCTAAACTCTTGCCATGCTGCCCCACAGGCGTCAGCACATGCATCCATACACATGCGCAAGGGGATCTTTCAGGAAAGCCCACCATCATTTTCATATCTGACAGCTGTCCATGTATTTAAAACACAAAAAGATACAGCTTAACCCTGACCTTCCTACTAAGTTAAGATTTCATGTTGAAATGCTCTTTAACTGGCTTGTATGTGGATTCCAGTTCTCATCGTGGCCACAGAGACTTCAGATGTGTATTTTTTCCTAAATATGCCCTGTCTCAGACACTCTTCTCTCTTTCTCTAGATGGTAGAGGCGATATTCTAGTTACTTACCGGAATGATTGTGTTTGGAGTAGCTTGATTTTAACTGTACATGATTTGCCTTGCCCTTAGCCCTCCTTTCAGGCAGATATTTAAATCTTGAGCCAAGTTTGGGGTTTGGTTTCGTTCACCCTGGATCAAAAGAAAAGAGGAAAAAAAAAAAAAATAAGAGGTTACCTGCAAGTTTCTGCTGTTCTTTGTCTTAATGTTCCATTGGATGCACTGAGCCCGTGGCCCTTGCACACAGGTGACCTGCTAAAGGGTTAATGGATGGGACACCAGCGTGGAAACGCGGCCTCTTTCCACTCGTGGGGTGGTGTAAAGGAGTTTAAACGCCTTCAGGGATCAGGCTTTGCTGGTCTTGAGCTTGAGCTGCAAGTGCTGCGCAGCAGAACAGTGACGGAGGGGGGGGTCAGGTCTTGCACAGCTTGGCTCTCGTGCTCCATGGGCTCCTTTCTGGACCTCTTTGCCACCGAACCCAAAAGGCAAAGAGCAGAATCTTTGCGCCTCGTTGGGAAACGGCTGAAGTTCCCCTTCTGCCCGGTTCAGCTCCATCCTCCATCTCTCCCTTTCCCCCCCCTCCTCCTCACTTTGGTGTGTTTGAATGTGCCCGGGGAGCAGCAGGGTGACGTGGTCCTGTCCCTGTCCCCCCCCCCGAGCCTCCATGGCTGTGTAATTGACATCCCATTTTTATCAAAGACAAATAAATGCGCACAACCATCCGTCTCCCTGCACTCCATGTATCTTCCTTGCTTGCCAGCTGGAGCTGATGGGCTTCCCCATGGGAACTGGGAGGACTTTCTTATGTCCCCCCCTCTCTTGCAGCCTCCCCACCTCAGGCTCCCTTCCTGCTGGGACAGGAAACCTTATGGACACTGAAGGGCTTAGGAAATGCTGCAGAAGCTTTGCCCAAAGCTTCCCATTTTCCATTGGGAAAACTCCCTTTGGATTAAGTGTGTGTAGGACAAGGTGAAGGTGGTTCTGCTTTGTATGGGTGACCTGGCCATTGGGGCCAGTGGGTTCTGCTGCCCGCAGAGGTGTTTGCTTGCAGCTGGCTGGTGCCAATGCCCCCTGTTCACGATGGATTTGATCCCTGCTTTGCCATACTTGCTCTCGCCTGGGTGTTCCTGGTGGGGAGGGAGGATTGGGCAGTGAGAAGGAGCAGGAGGAACCCTGTAAAACCTGCTTGCTCCCCAGCTGGAGATGGGATCTAGCAGTACGTGGTGTAGGTGGAACAGCCGTTGCTCCATAGACCAGGGCAGTGCCTGGGGGCTGGAAATGCTCCTGCCCGTGTCTGTGCATCACAGTGAGACCGGTGAGCACCCGGCTTTAACCTCCTGAGGGTGGCACAGGGAATGGGGGGGTCCTGTCTGCATCTTCTCCAATGGGGAATTCGGGAAGAGGGAATGGCTTTAAGAGGAGCTGCGGCTGCCCCATCCCTCGGCAGTGTCCCAAGGCCAGGCTGGATGGGGCTTGGAGCACCCTGCTCTAGTGGAAGGGGTCCCTGCCCCATGGCAGGGGTTGGAGATGGGTGAGCTTCAACCCAACCCCATGCTTCCCAATGAAACCCATGCTTCCAAGAGGGCTTGGGCCACCTCCAGCTCCCCGGCTGCCATGGATGTGGCCGTGTCCCAGCCGGGTCCATCTCCCCATGGGGTTATTGTGTAAATGAGTCTGTATGCTTATATATGGGCGGACACGTCTGTACATGTGTGTAAATGTACGTGTGCATGTGTGCCCATACATGTATGGGCATGTAGATGTATGTATATATGTACATGTGTGCCCATACATGTATGTGCATGTAGATGTATGTATATATGTACGTGTGTGCCCATACATGTATGGGCATGTAGATGTATGTATATATGTACGCGTGTGCCCATACATGTATGTGTATGTAGATGTATGTATATATGTACGTGTGTGCCCATACATGTATGTGCATGTAGATATGTATGTGTGCCCATACGTGTATGTGCATGTAGATATGTACATGTGTGCCCATACATGTACGTGCATGTAGATGTATATATGTACATGTGTGCCCATACATGTATGTGCATGTAGATGTGTGTGTGCACGTAGGTGTGTGCGTACATATGTGTGTACGTGTGCTATACCTGTATGTGCATGTAGATGTGTGTATGTGTGCTATACATGTATGTACATGTAGATGTGCGTGTACATGTGTGTACATGTGCAAATACATGTGTACATGTGTGCTATGCCGGTATGTGGCATGTAGATGTGTGTATACACGTGTGTACATGTGCGAATACATGTGTACATGTGTGCTATACCTGTATGGGCATGTAGATGTGTGTATACATGTGTGTACATGTGTGCTATACTTGTATGTGCATGTAGATGTGTGTATACATGTATGTACATGTGCGAATACATGTATACATGTGTGCTATACCTGTATGGGCATGTAGATGTGTGTATACATGTATGTACATGTGTGAATACATGTGTACATGTGTGCTATACTGGTATGTGCATGTAGATGTGTGTATACACGTGTGTACATGTGTGAATACATGTGTACATGTGTGCTATACTGGTATGTGCATGTAGATGTGTGTATACACGTGTGTACATGTGCGAATACGTGTGTACATGTGTGCTCTACCTGTATGTGCACGTAGATGTGTGTACACGTGTGAATACGCGTGTTCATGTCTCTACATGCCTTGTACATGCCTTGTACATGCGTGTAACGTGTCCGCGCCCTCCATCGTGGTCCCGCCCACCGCGCATGCGCAGTTTGCGCTTCCTGCGGGAGGCAGCGTGGGGGGCCCGATCCCGGTTCCTGTTTCCGATCCCGATCCTGATCCCGGTCCCGGTGCCGGTCCCGGTGCCGCCGCCATGAGCGCTCCGGGGCCGCCGGGCCGCGGGTTGGTGTTCGCGGAGCGCCAGCTCCGGCGGCACGGCTGGAGGCGAGGTGCGGCTCCCACCGCATCGGCACCGCGCGTGTGCCCCGGGAGCCGGGGCCAAACCCGGACCCCGGACCCGGTGTCTCCAGCGCGGAGCCGGTGCGGTCCGGGATGGATCCGGTGCGGTCCGGGATGGGGCCCATGTGGTCCGTGAGGGAACCGGTGCGGTCCGGGATGGACCCGGTGCGGTCCGGGATGGGACCCATGTGGTCCATGAGGGAACCGGTGCGGTCCGGGATGGAACTGCTGCGGTCCGGGATGGGACCCATGTGGTCCGTGAGGGAACCTGTGCAGTCCGGGATGGGACTCATTTGGTCCATGATGGAGCTGGTGCGGTCCGGGATGGGATCCATGCAGTCCATGATGGAACCCGTTTGGTCCATAATGGAACCGGTTCGGTCCGTGATGGGATCCGCGCGGTCTGGGATGGAACCCATTTGGTCCGTGAGGGAACCGGTGCGGTCCGGGATGGACCCGGTGCGGTCTGGGATGGGACCCATGTGGTCCATGAGGGAACCTGTGCAGTCCGGGATGGGACTCATTTGGTCCATGATGGAGCTGGTGCGGTCCGGGATGGGATCCATGCAGTCCATGATGGAACCCATTTGGTCCATGATGGAACCGGTGTGGTCCGTGATGGACCCAGTGTGATCCAAAATGGATCCAGTGCGGCCCATGATAGATCCAACGCAGTCCGTGATGGATCCAGTGCGGTCCGTGATGGATCCAGTGCAGTCCATGATGGATCCAATGCAGTCTGTGATGGATCCAGTGTAGTCCGTGATGGATCCAGTGAGGTCTGTGATGCATCCAGTGCAGTCCATGATGGATCCAATGCGGTCCATGATGGATCCAGTGCAGTCTGTGATGGATCCAGTGCAGTCTGTGATGGATCCAGTGCGGTCCGTGATGGATCCAGTGCGGCCCATGATAGATCCAACGCAGTCTGTGATGGATCCAGTGCGGTCCGTGATGGATCCAGTGCAGTCTGTGATGGATCCAGTGCGGTCCGTGATGGATCCAATGCGGTCTGTGATGGATCCAGTGCAGTCTGTGATGGATCCAGTGCGGTCCGTGATGGATCCAATGCGGTCTGTGATGGATCCAGTGCAGTCTGTGATGGATCCAGTGCGGTCCATGATGGATCCAGTGCGGTCCGTGATGGATCCAGTGCAGTCCATGATGGATCCAGTGCGGTCCATGATGGATCCAGTGCGGTCCATGATGGATCCAGTGCGGTCCATGATGGATCCAGTGCAGTCCATGATGGATCCAATGCACTCTGTGACGGAGCCGTTGTCCGCAGGGCAGGGGCTGGGCCGGCAGGAGCACGGCATTGCCGAGCCCATCCGGGTGAAGGTGAAGTGCGGCACAGCCGGGGTGAGTCACGGGTCCCCGTCCCCCCTTACACCCCCCTCCATCCCCGCTGGGGCTCCGGCTGGTGGCAGCATCCCCAGCGGCTCCTGCGCTCCCGCAGGTGGGACACGACGCATCCGAGCCCTTCTCCTTCCACTGGTGGGACCACGTCTTCAACCAGGCGGCCGCCAACATCGCGGTGGAGGCCGGGCAGGTGGGAGCCGGCGGGGGGGGGGTCCTGGTGATGCGGTTTAAGGATGAAACCCCTCGGGTTAAAGCCTTCCCAAGGCCTTTCCCTCTCTTATCCCTGCAGGACGGCATCTCCCTGAAGGCGCTTTCCAAGCAGGGAGTCAGGATCAGCAATAGGAAGCCCCACAAGGCCAGCGGCACCCCCGGCTTGTTGTACGGCCGCTTCGTGAAGGTAAACGGCTTTGGGGGGCAGCCCAAGCTCTGCACCCCACTTTCCCAGCGCACACCCCCCCCCCCACCACCACCAGGACCCCCCTTTTCCTTGTGCCCCCTTCTCTGCAGTCGGCCACGCTCACAGCACACGGCGAGGAGCCCGCAGGCTCCGCGAGCAGCGAGGAGGAGGAGGAGGAGGAGGAGGAAGAGCTGGACCTGTCCTCAGCCAGGAGGCAAGGCTCCATCCCCGCCCTGCGGGGCTCTGGGGGGTGATGCTGCGAGGGGGACCCCGGGTCCTGAGCCCTGTCTGTGTCCCACAGGCTGACGGATGAGGAGCTGATGCGGGTGTGCGGGGGCCGCACAGCACACAAGTGAGTGGGTCCTGGGGGTACCCCTCTCCTCTTGGGGTGGGGGGGCACTGGCAGGGAGGTGCCAGAGCCCGGTGCCATTGGTCGTTGTAGGGGTGCCCGGCACGGCCTGACGATGAGCGCCAAGCTGGCGCGCCTGGAGGAGCAGGAACGAGCCTTCCTGGCCACGCTCGGACACGAGGAGCCCCCCGAGAGGCAGGGAAAGAAGAGGCAAAGGGAAGAGTGCAGGGATGGAGCCAGTGCCGAGGCGCTGCAGAGGCAGGGGCCGAGCGAGGAGGAGGAGGGAGACGAAGGAAAGGCTGCAAAGAGGAAGAAGAAGAAGCACCAGGAGCCAAACGGAGAAGAGGAGGTGGCGGGAGAGGAAGGGAAGGCTGCAAGGAGGAAGAAGAAGCAGCAGCAGCAGCAGGAGGACAAAGAAGAGCCAATTGTGATGGAGAAAAGGAAGAAGCAGGAGAACAAGGAAGAGCCAATTGTGATGGAGAAGAAGAAAAGGAAGAAGCAGGAGGAGAACGAAGAAGAATCAATTGTGATGGAGAAGAAGAAGCAGAAGGAGAACAAGTGATGGAGAAGAAGAAGCAGAAGGAGAACAAGGAAGAGCCAGTTGTGGTGGAGAAGAAGAAAAGGAAGAAGCAGGAGAAGGAGAATGAAGAAGAATCAATTGTGATGGAGATGGAGAAGAAGAAGCAGAAGGAGAACAAGGAAAAGCCAATTGTGATGGAGAAGAAGAAAAGGAAGAAGGAGAACAAAGAAGAACCAACTGTGATGGGGAAGAAGAAGCGGCAGCAGCAGCAGGACAAAGAAGAGCCAGCTGAGGCAGAGATGCCTCTGGAAGACACAGATGGGCCAGACCAGGCCAGCCACAGCCCCAGGAAGAAGAAGAAGAGGAGGAGGAAGAAGGACCCGGAGTGAACAAGGGCCCCATGGCTGGTTCCATCTGGCTGCAAGGGTCCCAATTCCTGTCCTTGGTGCCCAAGGATGCTCTGGGCTCTTTGTGGCCTGGCCAAGCGTTCATCCCTGCCTGGGGATGCTGGGCTGGGACTGCTTGGTTTGGAGCTGGATTGAGCTGGACTTCCATCAGGGAGCACCCCACTTCCAAGCAGGGACCCCTTTGCCGTGGGGCTGTCCCTGATGGACGCAAGGGGACAGACCCCAGAGAGCACCGAAACGTTCCGTCGAGGGCACACGAATAAAGCTTTTATTGCCATGAAACTATCCCAGAGTGCGGAGGGATCCGGGATCCCATTCACCCCTCCCAACACCGGGATTAGGTCGGAGCTGCACCGAGCTTCCATGGCGCTGCGTAGGGCCTGCAGCCCAATGATGCACTGAGCATCCTGAGCCCCCGCTCTAGGTGAGCTGCAGGACGCATTCTGTGCCGGGGTACGGGGGCAGGTTTAAGGCGTATTTCTCCTGCAGCGCTGGGGGCACGAACCTGCCCCCGAGGAAGTGGAAGCGCCCTTCGAAGTGCAGCGCTGCCTTCTTGGGCGCCGTGAGTGAGATGAGCATGTCCGGCCGGAGCCCGTCCGCCTTCCCCTTCTCCACATCCCAGCCTGCAAGGAGGAGCCCCCCGCCGCCCCGGGACAAGCTGGAGCCAGGAGGACCCCAAATGGGCCCCTCCGGGGAGGGTGGGGGGGGGGTAACTCACCCGAGGGGATGTCGATGCTGGCGATGGGCACCGTGATGTGCCTCAGGGTGCCGAGGATGCTGCCGAAGGGCTCCCGCACGGCTCCCTTGAAGCTGAACCCGAAGATCGCGTCCACCACCAGCCCATAGAGCTCATCGATGAGTGCAGGCTGCGGAGGGGAGGGTGGAAAGCAGCCCAGTGGGTACCACACATTGAGTGGGGCCATAGGAGGGCTATGGGGCTGGAGCACAAGCAATGGGGAACAGCTGAGGGGTTCAGATGGGGAAAAGAAGGCTCAGGGGGATGGAGCCAGGATGGGGCTGGGCTCTGCTCCCAAGGGGTGGGACAAGAGGAACCGGCCTCAAGCAGGTTTAGATGGAGCTGAGGACCAATTCCTGCCCCAAAGGATGCTCAGGCTTTGGAGCAGGCTGCCCAGGGCAGGGCTGGAGTAGCTGAGGCTCTCAGTGCCGTGGGTTAGCGGTGGCCTTGGCAGTCGGGATGGGATGAGCTGAAAGGGCTTTTCCATGGCTGCTTCCATGATTCCATATCCTCACCTCGGCCGGGAATTCGGGCAGGAAGGGGATGTCCATCTTCTGGCACTGCGTGGTCAAGCCCTCAAAGAGGGGTTTGCTGGAGCGCTTGGGGTAATAGATGGTGGGCTCGTAGCCCTGCAGGAACAACAGGGATCTGAGCAGAATTCCAGCGCCGGGCACAGCCCCAGGAGCAGGAACCCCAAAGCTGATGGGGTCGGGGGGTGGGAGGGCACAAGAGACTCACAAACAGCTTCAGGTGCCGGGCGCAGACCAAGCCGTCGCCGCCGTTGTTCCCCGGCCCGCACACAACCAGCACCGCGGGGCGGCTCGTGGTGAAGGAGCTGGGGGGATAAACCTGGAGTGGGGCAGGAGGCGCTGGGAGGGTGATGCTGAGGATGCAGGGACCCCCCTCCATCCCCGTGCTCCCGTGCACCCACCTTGGCGATGGCCGTGGCGCAGCTCAGCCCCGCCAGCTCCATCAACTGGTCCACGCTGAACTTGTACTCGGTGAACAGCTCCTGGTCAATGGCCTGGGCCTCATCCTGCCTGCACGGGGAGGGGGGGGAGCGGATTATAGCGGCTATGGGGACCCCAAAACCCGCCTGCACCCCGGTTCTGGAGGCTCAGATGCCCTCGGCTTTGTGAAGAGCCCCAAAGGGGACGCGCACCACAACGCACCTCTCCCCCCCCCCCCATGCACCCCAATGGCTCTGCCCGACCCCTCCATCGCGTTACCCCCCTGCGGACCCCCAACCGCCCTCTTACCCCCTTTCCCTCCTTCCCCACAGCGCATCCCTGCGGCCGTACCCGAGGAAGCGGAGCCCCCGCGGGCCGGGCCCGGCGCTGGGGCCGTGCATGGCGCGGTGGGAGCCGCACCACGGAGCCCGCTCCCGGCTCCAGCCCCAGCCCCAGCCCCGGTTCAAGCAGCGCCCGCCCGCCCGGACCCCCCCGGCCGCCACCAGCAGCCCCAGCCCCAGCAGCGCCCTCGGGCCCGGCATGCGGAGGGCTCCGAGCGGCTCCGCTCCGCAAGGAGCAGGCGCAGGGACGGCCCCGGGGCGGAGCCGGCTCCCCCCGTACCCGCCCCGTCGGGTGCCCGAAGGGGAACAGCGGAGATGCGGGTTCGAAACCGCGCCGGGTCCCGGTGAGCGCTCCCGGTGCTGCCGCCGTCACAAGAGGATGCAGAGGAGCGACAGCGTCCTCCTCCCGGTGCGGGGCTCCCTGCTCCCGGTGCTGGGCTCCATCCTCCTGGTGCTGGGCTCCGTCCTCTCGGTGCTGGGCTCCGTCCTCCCGGTGATGGGCTCCATCCTCCCGGTGCTGGGCTCCCTCCTCCCGGTGCGGGGCTCCATCCTCTCGGTATGGGGCTCCCTGCTCCCTGTGCGGGGCTCCATCCTCCCGGTGCTGAGCTCCATCCTCCCGGTGCTGGGCTCCCTCCTCCCGGTGCTGGGCTCCATCCTCCCGGTGCTGGGCTCCATCCTCTCGGTATGGGGCTCCATCCTCCCGGTGCTGGGCTCCATCCTCCTGGTGCTGGGCTCCCTGCTCCCGGTGCTGGGCTCCATCCTCCCGGTGCGGGGCTCCCTGCTCCCGGTGCTGGGCTCCATCCTCCCGGTGCTGGGCTCCATCCTCTCGGTATGGGGCTCCCTGCTCCCAGTGCTGGGCTCCCTCCTCCCGGTGCTGGGCTTCATCCTCCCGGTGCTGGGCTCCATCCTCCTGATGCTGGGCTCCATCCTCCCGGTGCTGGGCTCCATCCTCCCGGTGCTGGGCTCCATCCTCTCTGTATGGGGCTCCCTGCTCCCAGTGCTGGGCTCCATCCTCCCGGTGCTGGGCTCCGTCCTCTCGGTGCGGAGCTCCATCCTCCCGCTGTGGGGCTCCCTGCTCCCGGTGCTGGGCTCCATCCTCCCGGTGCTGGGCTCCATCCTCCCGCTGTGGGGCTCCCTGCTCCCGGTGCTGGGCTTCATCCTCCCGGTGCTGGGCTCCATCCTCCCGGTGCTGGGCTCCATCCTCCCGGTGCGGGGCTCCATCCTCCCGGTGCTGGGCTCCATCCTCCCGGTGCTGGGCTCCATCCTCCCGGTGCGGGGCTCCATCCTCCCGGTGCTGGGCTCCCTGCTCCCGGTGCTGGGCTCCATCCTCCCGGTGCTGGGCTCCATCCTCCCGGTGCGGGGCTCCATCCTCCCGGTGCTGGGCTCCATCCTCCCGGTGCTGGGCTCCATCCTCCCGGTGCGGGGCTCCATCCTCCCGGTGCTGGGCTCCCTGCTCCCGGTGCTGGGCTCCATCCTCCCGGTGCTGGGCTCCATCCTCCCGGTGCGGGGCTCCATCCTCCCGGTGCTGGGCTCCCTGCTCCCGGTGCTGGGCTCCATCCTCCCGGTGCGTGGCTCCCGGCATCCACGGGGCCGCTGGTCCATGGGGCTGGGGAGGGCAGCGAGGCGACCGAGGCATTAACGGGGTGTATGGGGTACCTGAGCCCGCCCCGGGGTCATGGCTACATCCCGGGATGTGGGGATGCAGCAGGTTTCTGACTCACATCCTGCTCCCCCAAAGCTGTGTCCTGGTGGCGTGGGGCCGAGTGGGGGGAAGCTGCAGCTGACCCGGGTCCTGCTGGGATGGGGGGACACATCCTGCTGGGATGGGGTCCTGCTGGGATGGGGGGAACCCTGCGGGGTTCACATCTCTGCCCCCCGACCCCTGGTGCGTCCACCAAGCCCTGCCTGGGCTGCGATGCTCCAGTGCCCCAACCCTCCCTGCGCCATGGGGTGATGCTCACCCTACGGGAGAGGCGGCCGTGGAGGCAGAGCTGGTGCTGGATGGCATCGGTGAGCCTGTGCACGACCCGCTCACGGGCGGCTCTGGGGGTGTCCTGCAGAGGAGGCACCCCCCGATCAGCACCCAGGGCTGGGGTGGTCACCCCGTGATGCAGGAGAGCATCCAGCCCGCCCCATGGTCCTAACCTGGCAACGGGAAAGCAACGTCAGAGCCTCCTTGTAGTGCCCGATGGCTCTGGAGGGGTCTCCCAGCTGGAAGTAGGCAGCTCCCAGCCCCTCGCACGCTTGCCACTGCCCCGGTACATCCCCTGGGAGGTGAGGAGCAGCATCAGCGCTGGTCCAGCGTGGTCCTGCAGCGTGAGCATCACTGATGCCCTTTGGATCCGGCACGCACCCGGCGTGGGGATGCTGCCGAGCCACCAGCACAGGGATGATTCGCCTGCATCCCCCTTACCCGAGTCCCGGAAGGCTTGCAGGGCGTGCAGGTAGCTCTCTGCAGCAGCCTCATGGTTCCCGAGCCGGCTGCAGGCATAAGCCAGGTTCCCAAAGCACTGCCCCTGCGCCTTCCGGTTCCCGAGAACACCTGGAATTGGGAACCCCATTGGAATGGGGCACATCCAGCAAAGCCAAGAGCAAAGCATCCCGGTGCCACCAACCGTGCAGCGCTGCCGCTTGCCGGTGCCAGCCCAGCGCCGTGCCGAAGCTGCCCAGCGCGTTGTGGGCAGCACCCATGTTCTGCAGCAGCGCGGCCGCCCTGTCCTGCTCCGGTCCGGATGCCAGAGCCCTCTGGAAGCTCTCAGCAGCCAGGGGGAAGATGTGGAGCTGGGAATAGCCGAGCCCGATGTCGCTGTAGAGTTTCCCTGCGGAGCAGAGGGGAAAGGCCGGGTGCGGGTGCTGCTCCAGGCACCGGGAGCGAGGGATGGAGCGTGGCGTTTACCTCGCAGGGCTGCATCACGGATGCTGCCGCAGAGCGAGCGGCACTGGGCGAGGACCGCGGCGATCTCGGCCACCCCGAAGCCCCGGCTCTGCAGCATGGAGCCGCTGGCCCTGCTCAGAGCCACGGCCGCGGCCTCGGGGCTGGCGGCCGCCGCAAAGCACCGCGCAGCATCCAGGAAGCACCGCGCCGCCAGCGCCGGCTCCCGCATCCCCAGGTAGCAGCAGCCCATCCGCACGCTGGTCCCGGCTCTGCTGCCGGCTCGGGCCGCACCATCATCACCATCATCACCATCATCACCATCATCACCATCATCACCATCAGCAGCACCAGCGGCGAGGCCAAAGTGCTCCAGAGCCTTTGGGAAGTCCTGGAGCCCCTCGCGAGCCGCCTCGATGCTGAAATAAAGGTCTGGCGAGGGCTCCCTATGGTCCCCCAGTGAGGACTGGGACCGGAGGAGGAACCTGAGGCCCTTTTTGGGTTTCCCGGTCTCCACGTAGGCAGCCCCCAGGTTGAAGGCACAAGCGCTGCGGAGCTGGGGGCTCCCCATGCTCCTGGAGAGGACGAACGCCTTCCTGAAGCACCCAACCGCCTCCTGCCCAGCGCCCAGCACCAGCGCCCGGTGCCCGGCTCGTGTCAGCGCCTGGATCCTGGCCTCCGGCTCCACCACCTCCTCCCCTCCTTCCTGGGCATCTGCCCCGGCCTCCGGCTTCTCCTTCCCCTTCTTCCGGCTCTTTTTGGAGGTCACAGGGGCTGTGGGATGTGGTTTGGGGTTTGCTGCCTCCTCTGAAGCCATGGGCTGGGTGAGACCTGCCTGCAAGGGAGGGATGCAGCGGGATGTCTGGGGAAGAGCAGCACGGGGTGGGTATTCCCAGGGTGTCCTTATGGGAGGCAGAATACCCGGTTGCAGGCACTTACTGTTTGCTCTTTAGGCGCCGAGAGAGGGGAGAAGGACACGGGGTATCACCAGCGCCTTCCAGTCATGGATGGGGGGGTCCGAGGGCTGCTGGGTCCCACTGGGATGCCTGGAAAGCCGCTTTGGAGCACCAGGAAAGCAGCAGGGGTGTGCGTGGCACAGGCGGACCGGGACAAAGCTGGGCTTCTCCCGGGGAAGGAACGTTCTGAGATGGCCCCAGTGGCTCCGGTTTCATCCCCGGCACCGGTGTGCAGCACCATGGCAACACGGTCATCGGAGCTGGGTGATGCTGTGAGCGGGGTGATGCTGTGAGCGGGTGATGCTGTGAGCAGGTGATGCTGTGAGCGGGGTGATGCTGTGAGAAGGTGATGCTGTGAGCTGGGTGATGCTGTGAGCGGGTGATGCTGTTAGAGGGGTGATGCTGTTGACAACCACCCCATTGTGTCCATAGCCCTGTGGTAGCGCACTACAACCGGTGATGCTGTGAGCACTACAACTGGTGATGCTGTTGCACTACACCCGGTCCCCATGACCGCACTACACCCGGGGTGATGCTGTGAGCGGGTGATGCTGTGAGCGGGGTGATGCTGTGAGAAGGTGATGCTGTGAGCTGGGTGATACTGTGAGTAGGGTGATGCTGGGAGCCGGATGACTGATTGCACAACCACCCCATCGTGCCCATAGTCCTTGCTCTCCGGTACTGCACTACAACCGGTCCCTGGTACCACACTACAGCCGGTCCCGATTACCGCACAACAACCGGTCCCCATTACCGCACTACAACCGGTCCCTGGTACCGGTACCTCACTACACCCGGTCCCCGGTACCGGTACCGCACTACACCCGGTCCCCATTACCGCACTACACCCGGTCCCCGGTACCGGTACCGCACTACACCCGGTCCCCATTACCGCACTACACCCGGTCCTCGCTACCCGCTACTGAACTACAACTCCCAGCGGCCCCCGCGCGGTGTCACGTGAGCGGCGGGAGATTCAAATCGCGGGGTGGAGCCTCCGCAGCCGCAGCCATGGAGGGAGCGGGCTCGGTGCGATGTGAGCGTCCGGTTGTGGGGCTGCAAAGGGGGGGTCCCGGTGGGGGTCCCGGTGGGGTCCCGGTGGGGATGCGGGGCCGCTCGGGGGGTGCGGGGGAGGCCTTGGTGGAATTCCTGGTGGGGATCTTCATTGGGGTGGGATGGGGGTTAAGGACCAACCCCCCCCCTTCCCTCCCCGGGATAACGGGGTCTGCCCCCCATGCAGGCGAGCGGCTCACGGCCGAGGAGATGGATGAGAAGAGGAGGCAGAACATCGCCTACCAGTACCTGTGTCACCTGGAGGAGGCCAAGCGGTGCGGCTGGATGTGGGGACCCCCCCGTTTCGATGGGGGGGGGAAAGGCTGGGATGGGGCTTGGGAGATAAGGAATAAGGGGGGGGTGGTCTGGGATCCTGCAGGATCCTGCCTGCTCCTGGTGCTTCCTGGCTCTCCAAAGGGGGAGCAGCCAAGCAAAGAGATGGGTGCTGACCCCTCCCTGCCGTGGAGGGGGGGGTGATGCGGATGGGGTGGGGGGTGTCTCCTTTGGGAGCTGCTTTTCCTGCCTGGAATGGGTCTGGAGGGGGTCCGTGACGTGCCCCATCTCTGCCCTGCAGCTGGCTGGAGGCCTGTCTGCGCGAGGAGCTGCCCCCTCCAATGGAGCTCGAAGAGACCCTGCGCAATGGGGTGGTCCTGGCCAAGCTGGGCCATTGCTTTGCCCCCACCGTGGTCCCTCTGAAGAAGATCTATGACCCCGAGCAGAGCCGCTACAAGGTGAGGCTGGGGGGTGCATCCCTTAGGGTGCATCCCGGGCGCTGCAGGGTTCATTCCTGGGGGGGGGGGGGGTTGCAAGCTTTGCCTTGGGCTTTAACCTCATGGGTTTGGGGGAGCGGGGACCCCAAGGTTGGGAGAAGGGGGGGGCTGAACCTCATCCTGTGTTTCCTGTCCTCCAGGCAGCCGGGCTCCACTTCCGGCACACGGATAACATCAACTACTGGAGGGATGCGATGAGCCACGTGGGGCTCCCCACGGTAACGGCCCCCATTGCCCGTGTTGCTGTTGGGGGGGGTTCATCTCTGCCCCTCCACTCTTGGTCACCATCCTCCCCGTGGACCATGTCGGTGCCATCTCCTCCTGAGCGACCTCTTGTCTTGTTGGCAGATGTTCCACCCGGAGACCACGGACATCTATGACAAGAAGAACATGCCCCGGGTGGTCTATTGCATCCATGCGCTCAGGTGGGTGCCCCTGGCCCCACACTGGTCATGCTGGTGTTCAAAAGCCCTTTGGTGGCATCCCCAAAACGGGGGAAAGAGCCTTTGGGTGCTGCAGAAGCACAGGGAGGGAAGTGGTCATGGGGTGCATGTGCTTTGCCTTTCAGCTTGTACCTCTTCAAGCTGGGGCTGGCTCCTCAGATCCAGGATTTGTATGGGAAGGTGGACTTCACAGGTATGGCATCGCTCTGGGGCCCTGCACTGGGAGGGATGTGGGGAGCGAAGACCTTGGGCTTCAGCCTCGGTGATGCTACCTCAGTGTGGGGTTCTTTTGCACCCCTCTGGTTTGGATGAGCCTTGAGCTCCTTCCCCAAGCCAAGCTGCTCTCTCCTTCTATGCCTCTGTGCTGTGTTCCAGAGGAGGAGATCAACCACATGAAGCGGGAGCTGGAGAAGTACGGGCTGCAGCTCCCTGCCTTCAGCAAGATCGGGGGCATCCTGGCCAACGAGCTCTCTGGGGATGAAGCAGCAGGTGATGGGGACCCCCCAAACGTCACGCCCGGGGCCAGGCAGCAAACACAGGGGTGCCCTGAGACGGTGGAGGCTCCTCATTGCTCTCCCCTTGACCCATGCATGGACTGGCACAGGACCCAAGGGTTCACGTGCTGAGACGTGGAGGCTTTGTGGGCACTGGAGAGCATGGATTGCTCTTTGGGGATGGGGCTGGTTCCCAGCATCCCGCGTGGCGCAGCTCACCCCACGCACTCAGGACCATAGGGGATGGTCCCTGCCTCACCATCCCACTGCCCCCCTCCCTCTCCAGTGCACGCCGCCGTGCTGGCCATCAACCAAGCCGTGGAGCAGGGGGTGGTGGCCCAGACCATGGGGGCCCTTTGCAACCCCAGCGCGATGCTGCTCGGCCTGCGCCCGGAGCTGGCGGGCGCCTACCAGGAGATGCTGCACCGGGCGAAGCTGGAGAAGGGCAGCAACGCCAGGAACAGGGTGAGGAGGGGAGGCCAGGGCTGGCGGGGATGGGCTGGAGGGGTCCCCGTGCACGTCTTGTGTTGGCGCTGAGATGCGGTGGCTGCCCCATCCCTGGCAGCGTTCGAGGCCAGGTTGGAAGCCTCTGGGTGCCATTGGGGGGGTGCGTGCTCAGGGGGAGCATCCTGCAGCTCCTGCAGGTGATCCCCGAGGGAGAGGACATCTACGACCATTACCTGACCCAGGCTGAGATCCAAGGGAACATCAACAAAGTGAATGGTGAGAGCAAAGCTTGGGCCTTCCCTACCTGTGGTACCCGGGGCTGCAGGGAGAGCCTGCCTGGGCTGGGGGGGGCACAGCAGGAAGAGGCCATCTGCTCAGGTTTCAGATGTCTTGGGGGCCTGGGTTGGGTCTTTTGGTGCTTTCCCAAGGGGAAATTCGCGTTCTTAATACCCACTGCTAACAATGCTGTGCTCGGCTCTGGGCCCCTCACTGCAAGAGGGACATGGAGGTGCTGGAGAGGGGCCAGAGAAGGCTGCAGAGCCTGCAGCACAAGGGGGATGAGGGCGATTGACTCGTTCCTGGTGCCCATGTCCCGTCCTAGTGCACGGAGCTCTGGAGGAGGTGGACGATGCCCTGGAGCAGCAGGATGCGCTGGCGCTGCACCGTGCGCTGCAGGACCCGCTCCTGGCCCTGCGCTGCCTCCAGCGCCACAACCTCCAGCGCTACTTGGAGCAGCTCAGCACGGACCGGGAGCAGAAGGCGCTGGTAGGGGCTGGAGGAGCCCTGTGGGGCGGTGTTTGGGTGCTGGTCCCCTGGAGCGGGGCGGAGGGGGGAGCAATGGGGATGAGCATCTCCTGCAGGGGGTCTGAGCGGGGCAGCTCCATCAGCAGGGGCTGTGGGACGCAGAAGCTGTTGTTGCAGGAGCTGGGCTACGTGGATCTCTTGGAGAGGGAAGAGCTGGAAGCTGGGATCCTGGCAGCAAACAGGAAGGGCGAGGAGGAGCGAGCCAGTGAGTGCCTGGGGTGGATGTGGTGCTTTTTGGGAGGGCAGGGGGGGGTTCCGCTGCCTGGGTGCATCCCTTTGGAGCCGGTGCCTTCCTGCAGTGCTGGGGGCCATGAGCCGGGTGAACGCTGCCATCCGTCGTGGAAACCCAGCCGAAACCTTGGGAGCGCTGATGGACCCCGCAGCCCAGCTGCCCCACGTGTACCCGCTCGCTGCCCCCCTGTACCAGCACCAACTGGCCCTGCTGCAGAGCCAGCACCCGCGGGTGAGCTCCCCATGGATCCGTGTCCGGGTCCCATCCGTTCTTTGGTGCTGTGTGGGGGGGATCAGTACCGCTGATAGGCCGGGTTACGGGGGTCTCAGCGTCTCTGCCTTGCCCCGTGCAGGGTGAGCTGGTGCAGGAGGAGCTGTTTGTGGCTGTGGAGATGCTCTCGGCCGTGGCATTGGTTAACAGAGCCTTGGATGCTGGGGACCCCGATGCGCTCTGGAGCAGCCTGGTCAGCTCTGCCCTGGGGCTCGCGGGTGTCGAGGATGCGAACGCGCAGCGGTGAGGGCTGCGTGTGGGCTGGGGGCTGTGGGGCAGAGCCTCGGGAAGCGATGGGCAGCTGGTGTGGGCTGGTTTCAGCACCCACCCTGCCCCAGGCCTTGCATTCTCCCCTTTGGAAAGCAGGGTGCTGGCTCTGCCCAGCACCATTCCCGCTTGGGACGCGCCGAGCCGGTGCCCTATGTGTGTCCTGCAGGTATTTTGAGGACTTAGCGCAGCTCAAAAGGCAACACCGGGCAGCAGGAGGGGAGTTCCTGAGCTGGACCAGCATCCAGGACAGCGTGACCAGCACCAATTCCTCAGTGCAGGATGAGAACAACCGTGAGCGCTGCCCGCGTTGGGGCGAGCAGGGGGTTTGCACGGGGAGCCCAGCCCTAATGAGACAGCAGAGAGTCTCACCCTGCGGGTTGCGGGGGGGCTGATCCATCCCTGCCGTGCAGGACTCAGGGCTGTGAAGCTCATCAACGAGGCGCTGCTGCAGGAGGACCCCGAGAAGACGCTGTCGGCGCTGCTGCTGCAGGCGGCTGCGCTGCCCCACATCAGCCTCCCCATTGCCCGGCGCTACCACAGCGTCCTGGCCCACGCACGCAGGATGAAAGCCCAGGTTTGGGGGGGGGGATCCCCCCAAGCAGCAGCCTCCTCCTGTAGCATAGGGAGAGCAGAAGGTGCTGGATGGGGGCTCACTGGAGCCCGTATTGCTGATGATGAGAGCTGGGCTGGGTCAGCCTGCAGAAGAGGAGGCTCTTTAAGGGGAGACCTTGAGCAGCTCCAGTGCCTAAAGGGGCTGCAGAGGCAAGGGATGGAGGGGCAGGACAAGGGAATGGCTTTACCTTGATAGAGGGGAGATGGAGATGAGCTCTTAGGCAGAAGCTCTTCCCTGTGAGGCTGCTGAGGCGCTGGCCCAGGGTGCCCACCTGTGGTCCCCTCGCTGTCTCACAGGCCACAGGGGATGATGGAGCTGAGCTCTGGTGGGAAGAGATCCAGGATGGAGTCTGCAAGGCCAACGAGGACACGGTGGCAGCCAGGAAGAGTTGAGTGCCCTGCCCGGCGCTGCGCCCCTGCAGCCCTAGGAGGAAGGAAGGGAGTCTCACATGGACCCCTCTGTCCCTGCAGTGGCTCTGGGCGTCGCTGCCATCAACCAGGCCATCAAGGAGGGGAAGGCGACGCAGACCCTGCGGGTGCTGCTCAACCCCGCCGTGGCCCTGTGTGGGGTGGTGGGCGCCTGCGCCGCTGGGTACCAGGAGCAGCTCGCGGCTCTGATGGCCACCAAGAGGCAAGCAGGTAAAAGATGTGATTGTACCAGCCCCATCCATCACCCTGGGGTGCACCCATCCGTGGTGGGGAGCTCCTCCATCAGCACCTATCCATGGGGGGGAGCAAGTGCCTCCATCAGCACCCATCCATGGTGGGGAGCAGCTCCTCCATCAGCACCCATCCGATGGTGGGGAGCTCCTCCATCAGCACCCATGGGGGGGAGCAAGCGCCTCCATCAGTACCCATCCGTGGCGGGGAGCAGCTCCTCCATCAGCACCCATCCATGGGGGGGAGCTCCTCCATCAGCACCCATCCGTGGTGGGGAGCTCCTCCATCAGCACCCATCCGTGGTGGGGAGCTCCTCCATCAGCACCCATCCGTGGGGGGGAGCTCCTCCATCAGCACCCATCCGTGGTGGGGAGCTCCTCCATCAGCACCCATCCGTGGGGGGGAGCTCCTCCATCAGCACCCATCTCTGGTGGGGAGCAGCGCCTCCATCAGCACCCATCCGTGGTGGGGAGCTCCTCCATCAGCACCCATCTGTGGTGGGGAGCTCCTCCATCAGCACCCATCCGTGGTGGGGAGCTCCTCCATCAGCACCCATCCGTGGTGGGGAGCTCCTCCATCAGCACCCATCTGTGGCGGGGAGCAGCTCCTCCATCAGCACCCATCCGTGGTGGGGAGCTCCTCCATCAGCACCTATCCATGGGGGGGAGCAAGTGCCTCCATCAGCACCCATCCATGGTGGGGAGCAGCTCCTCCATCAGCACCCATCCATGGTGGGGAGCTCCTCCATCAGCACCTATCCATGGGGGGGAGCAAGCGCCTCCATCAGTACCCATCCGTGGCGGGGAGCAGCTCCTCCATCAGCACCCATCCATGGGGGGGAGCTCCTCCATCAGCACCCATCCGTGGTGGGGAGCTCCTCCATCAGCACCCATCCGTGGGGGGGAGCTCCTCCATCAGCACCCATCCGTGGGGGGGAGCTCCTCCATCAGCACCCATCCGTGGTGGGGAGCTCCTCCATCAGCACCCATCCGTGGGGGGGAGCTCCTCCATCAGCACCCATCACTGGTGGGGAGCAGCGCCTCCATCAGCACCCATCCGTGGTGGGGAGCTCCTCCATCAGCACCCATCTGTGGTGGGGAGCTCCTCCATCAGCACCCATCCGTGGTGGGGAGCTCCTCCATCAGCACCCATCCGTGGTGGGGAGCTCCTCCATCAGCACCCATCCGTGGTGGGGAGCTCCTCCATCAGCACCCATCCGTGGTGGGGAGCTCCTCCATCAGCACCCATCCGTGCGCCCACCCGTGGTGCGGAGCTCCTCCATCAGCACCCATCCGTGGTGGGGAGCTCCTCCATCAGCACCCATCCGTGGCGGGGAGCTCCTCCATCAGCACCCATCCGTGGTGGGGAGCTCCTCCATCAGCACCCATCCATCTCGCCGTGCAGGGAGCGCGAAGCCGTGCTGGATCCAGCACCGGCTGACTGATGGTGCCGAGTTCTACCTGAGCCTGCAGAGCTTCGAGGGCAGTTGGCAGCGCCCGCCCCACGGTGCCATCAACACCACGCACCTGAGCCGGGAGGAGATCCAGGTCCGGGGCTGCCGGGGCTCAGCGGGAGCCGGCGGCACTGCCGGCGCTGATACTCCTGCGTTGCGTCCCCGCAGGCGGTGGTCGGCCGAGTGACGGCAGAGCGCGCCCGGGAGCGGCTGTGGGCAGCCAACGTGGCCTTCGTGGTGAGGCTGCAGGCTCGGCTCCGCGGCTTCCTGGTGCGCCGGGAGCTGGCGGCGCGCCGGAGCATCCTGCGGGAGCAGCATCCGGCTGCCGTCAGGATCCAGGTGATGGAGCCAGGATGTGTCCCCGCTCTGCGCGAGGGGGTGCCTGCTTGCAGCATCCTCTGCTGCGCTGTAGGATGGTTTGCATGGGGAAGGGCCTTAAAGCTCGCCCAGTTCCAGCCCTTCCACTGGAGCAGGATGCTCCAAGCCCCTGTGTCCAACCTGGCCTTGAGCGCTGCCAGGGATGGGGTGGCCACAGCTTCTCCATTCAACCCATTCCAGTTCCCCACCACCCTCACAGGGAAGAGCTTCTACCTTAGATCCAACCTAAACCTCCCCTGGTTCAGTCTGAACCCATCACCCCTTGTCCTATGGCTCCAGCCCCTGATGGAGGTCCCTCTCCAGCATCCCTGTAGCCCCCTGCAGACACTGGGAGCTGCTCTGATGGTTGCTGCTCCGTAGCTTTCAAAGCCAGGGCTCACCCAAGGTGCTGCAGAGGACGGTGTCACGGTGGCCTTGCGCCCATCTCCATAACTGCTTGTCTTGTCTTGTCTATGCCCAGGCCTGCTGGAGAGGGTACAAGCAGCGCAGAGCTTACCTGGAGCGGCTGCGCTACCTGCGGGCCAACGCGGATGCTGCAATAAAGGTTTGGAAGAACCCTGGAGCGGTTTGGGTTGGAAACAGCCTTAAATCCTCGGGCAGGGACACCTTCCATGAGACCTTCCCCTTGGGCTGGCTCCAACTGCTGGGGTGTCTTTCCCAGATCCAGGCGGGCGTGAGGATGTGGCAGGCTCGGAGGAGGTACCAGGAGCGGCTGCGCTACTTCAGGCACAACGTGAGTGATGGGATGGAGTCAAATAAGAGCAGGGGATGGATGGAGGGGGATGATGCTGAGGGACAGTGGTGCCTCCTTCCCGGGGGAGAGATGGGAAGGGAAAGGTGCCCAAGCGTGTTCGCATGTGTGAGGAGGGCAAAGATGGCCCCAGTTCCATCGCTAACCTAAAGGAGATCAAGGTGTTCTTTAGAGGGGAAGGGCTGGGTCTGCTGGGGAAAGCAGATTCCCGGGGCTGGGAGCAGGGAGCTGGGTGCTCCCCATCGAGGAACATCCCTCACCCCCTTGTTTGTCCTGGCAGGTTGAAGCTGTGATCAAGATCCAGGCTTTTGTGCGAGCCCACAAGGCCCGCGGGGATTACAGGATGCTGGGTACGTTCCTGTGCACCTCTGCTCTGGGAATTAACTGGGAAGGGGGCTCTGCCTCCCCCCTTGTTGGCCAGGGGAGGTGGGGGCAAGTTGGCCACCGGTGTCCCTATGGCAAGCAGAGCCTTGGTGAGCCCTTGGCATCGGGTAGAGCAGCGCTGGGGCTGTTCTTGCACCGCCTTTGCTCCCAAAGGCTTGGTGGCATCACCTTGGCCTGTGCCAGAAGATGCTGCTTTGGGCAGGGTGGGGGGGGTCTGAGGGTCCACCCGCTCAGTCCCACACATTGGTGGTGCTGTGCCTTGCGCCAGTGCACGCCAGGAGCCCCCCGCTGAGCATCCTCCGGCGCTTCATCCACTTGCTGGAGCAGAGCCAGCAGGACTTTTGGGAAGAGGCGGAGGTGCTGCGGCTGCAGGAGGAGGTGGTGAGGAGGATCCGCGCCAACCGGCAGCTGGAGAGCGACCTGGACCTCATGGACATCAAGATTGGGCTGCTGGTCAAGAACAGGATCACGCTGCAGGTTGGGGAGGACCTCGGCCACCTGATGCTCCAGAGCTGGTCCTCCCCTCCTTAGCATCCCAGCTCGGGGTGGGGAAAGGGATGGGGAGCGTTGAGGCTCCTCGCTGGAGAGCTTGGCAGTCACCACCGCTTCTCTCCCGTGTGGCTCCAGGAGGTCGTTTGCCACTGCAAGAAGCTGACCAAGAAGAACAAGGAGCAGCTCTCGGAGCTGATGTCCATGGACAAGCAGAAGGGGCTCAAGTCGCTCAGCAAGGAGAAGCGGCAGAAGCTGGAGGCCTATCAGCACCTCTTCTACCTGCTGCAGGTGGGGCCCTGCGGTGCCCATGGGAGCCAGGGGCACGGGCAGCCCATGGCCTTCGGGGTGATGCTGCTGTTCCTCATCCCTGCAGACGCAGCCCCTGTACCTGGCCAGGCTCCTCTTCCAGATGCCCCAGACCAAGTCCACCAAGTTCATGGAGTCGGTGATCTTCACGCTCTACAACTACGCCTCCACCCCCCGGGAGGCTTTTCTGCTGCTCCAGCTCTTCAAGGCGGCGCTGCAGGAGGAGATCAGGTGGGTGCAGCCCATAGGGATACCCTCTCCCGGGTTCAGGACCGGGAAAAGGCTGACCCAGAGGCAGCAGTTGGGATGCAGCGATGTCCTTTGGCTGCTGCCTCCTGCATTGGAGAACACCCCCGGTGGGTGCGCTCCGCCAAGCCCATCCTCTTCGCCCCATCCCTCCTGCCTCTCCCCAGCTCCAAGGTGGAGCAGGTCCACGACATCCTGCTGGGGAACGCCGCGGTGATCCGGATGGTGGTCAGCTTCTACCGCAACGCCCGCGGGCAGAACGCCCTGCGGCACATCCTGGGGGGCCCGGTGCAGCAGGTCCTGCAGGACAAGGCCCTCAGCATCCGCACCGACCCTGTGGACATCTACAAGGCTTGGGTCAACCAGAGCGAGTCACAGAGCGGGCAGAGAAGGTCAGGGCAAGGAGGGCTCTGTCCCTAGCCCAGCCCATGGGGTGAGGATGGGTGTCGGGATGGTGATGGGGACCTTGGCTTCTCTTCACAGCAAGCTCCCATATGAGGTCAGCCCTGAGCAGGCTCTCAGCTACCCCGAGGTCCAGAGGCGGTTGGATGTCTCCATCCACAACCTCCTCATGATGACGGACAAGTTTGTCTCTGCCATCACCTCTTCTGTAGACCAGATCCCGTATGTACCTCGAGGGTCTTTGGGCACATCCCTGCAGCGCTGTTGGCTGGAAGGCCTTGGGAAGGGACGTTGGGTGATGGGAGGGCTTCCTGGCCCTGTAGGTGCTGGCTCCATCCTCCTGGCTTGAGGGATGCTGCAGCCACCAGGCCCTGCTATGGGCTCCTCCATCACCCGAAAGGGGGGTGATGGGCAGCAGGGATGGGGCGGGGGGCCGAGCTGGTGCTGCCCCACACGCCGCCTGCCCTCTCCTCAGCTATGGCATGCGCTACATGGCCAAAATCCTGAGGACATCCTTGGCTGAGAAGTTCCCCGAGGCTTCAGCAGAGGACATTGACAAGGTACCCCAGGTCTGGGGGTGGTCTGCACGGCATGGGGGCATCCCATTGAATGTGCCAAAGATCAAGTCCTCTTGACTTAAAAACCCCTTCAAGCCACCGTTTCCCTTGAGCCAAGTAGGGGATGCCAATGGTGGGCTCTTGCCTGCCCTGCTTCCCCTCCAGGAGCCAGGATGGAGCCCCCTTCCCTGCCCAGCTTACCCCTTCCTTAGCCATGAGCCTGCTCCCCATCACCCGCCCTCCCCTTGCCCCTTAGGTGGTGGGGAACCTGCTCTATTACCGCTACATGAACCCGGCCGTGGTGGCCCCCGACGCCTTCGACGTGGTGGAGCTGTGCGCCGGGGCGAGCCTGCAGCCGGAGCAGCGCCGCAGCCTGGGCTCCATCGCCAGGGTGCTGCAGCACGCGGCCGCCCGCAAGCCCTTCGGCGGGGACAACGCTCACCTCCGCGGCCTCAACCGCTACCTGGAGGAGACCCACCACCGGTTCAGGTGGGCATCGCCACGGCGCGGGCGGGCTGGGGCTGAGCCTCCTCAGGATCGTAGAACCAGAGCATCAACCAGGGTTGGAAACGGCCTTGAAGGTCGCATCCGGTGCAATCGCTGCCCACCACGACCCCACGGCAATGGGTGATCGCTTTCTCCAGCCCTGCCCTGGGCAGCCTGTTCCAGTGCCTGAGCAGCCTTTGGGGCAGGAGTTGTTCCTCTGCTCCATCTAAACCTGCCCTGGCGCAGCTTGAGGCCGGTTCCTCTTGTCCCCCCTCTCTGCAGAAGGTTCATCTCTGCTGCCTGCAGCATCCCAGAGCCGGAGGAGAGGTTTAACATGGACGAGTACTCGGAGATGGTGGCAGTGGCCAAACCCGTCATCTACATCACAGCGGGGGAGCTCATCAACACGCACAAGGTGAGGGCATCAAACCCATCCTCCACCACAGAATCCCAGACTGGTTTGGGTCGGAAAAGACCTCAGAGCTCCTCCAGCCCCAAGCCCCTGCCATGGGGCCTTATCTCCAGCCTGAACTCAACTGCTCCAGCCCCTGCTCATCCTCACGGCCTCCTCTGGTCTTACTCCAACAGCTCCATGTCCTCTGTGTGTTGGGACACCAGGAGGGCACACAGTGCTCTGCTTCATGCAGGCTCTGTGTCTTCTGCTCCATCATCACCAGCGCGGCTCCTCCTGACCCTTTCCCCCCCGCCCCTTTATAAGCAAGCAAATAAACCCCATCCTGTAGCTTCTCTGCTGCTTCTCCTTGTCCTTCCCTGAACCTCCTGGCTCGGTGCTTCCCCCTGGGGTGCAGTTGTCCCCCGCTGACTCGGCTCCCTCCCCGCCAGCTCCTGCTCGAGCACCAGGACTCCATCGCGCCGCAGCACGGGGACCCCCTGCACGCGCTGCTGGAGGACCTCGGGGAGCTCCCCACGCTCCAGGTCCTGCTCGGTGGGTGCAGCGCCAAGGAGGATGGAGCCTCCTCCAGGCTTCTTCCTGCTCCAGGCTCTCCTTGGGTTGCTTTGGCCGTGGGGGGGGCCCACTCCTTGGAGGCCAGCTCGGGCTCTCTCTGTCCCCACAGGGGAAAGCGTTGCCAGCCCCATGGACGCCAGCACCGAGCAGATGCTCTCCCAGCTCAGCAAGGTGGAGATGTCCCTCACCCTCACCGGGAAGCTGGTGCCGGCGGCCAGCAGCGAGGAGAGCGACACCAGGAGCTTATTGCTGAGGTGAGGATGGGCTCTGCGGGCACCATGGGGTTGGGATGCTCGAGGAGGGCAGGAAACCCTCGGGGTGCTGCTCTGGTGGAGCAGAACGATGGTCAGGAGCTGGGTGCCTCACGTCTTCCTCTGGTCTCCAGCACCAAGCAGATGCTGGTGGATGTGATCCAGTCCCAGCCAGGAGATTCCCTCCCGGAGATCCTGTGGACACAGGCCTCGGAGCATGAGGTGGGATGTGCTAACACAGTGCTTGGGGCAAGAGCAAAGACGGCACAAAGGTGTCCAAGCTCCAGCTCTGGTTGGGCTCTGTTCTGCAGAGACAGCAGATGGGCCAGGAGAGACTCCTCTGTGTGTGTGTGTGTATGGGGGGGGTGATTGCTCCATCTCCTCCCCTCCCATTCCATCCATGCTCCACGCTCTCCATCTCCTCATCCCTAGGAAGCCTCCCATGCGCAGCTCATGCACCGGAGAGCGCTGCGGGATGCGCAGAGCCCGGCCACGCTGCAGCGCAGCCGGTCCCTGGCTGCCAACAGCCAACTGTCCCTGGAGGAGAAGAAGCGCAAGATCATCCGCAACCTGCGGCGCCTGCAGAGCCTGGGGCTGCTGGACTCGGCCCATCAGTACCAGGAGCTCATCAATGACCTGGCCAAGGTGGGTGGGGGGACAAGGAGGTCGCCTCTAAACCCACCTGAGCTCCTGCTTTGGGCATGGAATCGCTGCAATGGGTTGGGTTGGAAGGGAGCTTAAAGAGCCTCGTCCAGCTCCAATGATGAGCATGGGCACCTGCCACTTAGAGCAGGTTGCTCCAGGCCCTGTTGAGCAGTGCCAGCAATGGGGCTGGCTCCTCTGAGCATCTTGGTGCTTCCATAAAGCTCCAAATGAGTTCTGTTGGCATCATTTCCCCACCACCACCCCCCCCAGGACATCCGGAACCGGAGGCGCTACCGGCAGCACCGCAAAGGGGAGCTCCTGAAGCTGAGGCAGACCCTGGAGGGTCTCGATGCCAAGACCTTGTTTTACGAGGAGCAGATTGATTATTACAACCAGTACATCAAGACCTGCCTCGACAACCTGGCAGCCAGCACCAGGTACGTTTCCTTGCCAACCTCCTCTCTGTTTCTAACTGCTCTCGGGATGCTGTGAGCCCTGGAGGGTGCTGTTGGGGGTCCCAGGGGTCCTGTGTGCCTGGAGAGCAGCTCCATGGGCTCTTCTCTTCACGGGTCAGTGGGAAGAACAAGAAGCTGCAATCACTGCGCTACACTGCTGCCCGGCTCTTTGAGAAGGGAGTGCTGCTGGAGATTGAGGACCTGCCCCACAGCCAGTACGTAGCCCCTGCTCCATGCCATGGCAGGGGGCAGGGAGAGGAAAATAGCCTGGAAGCTTTCCCTGCCCCATGGCAGGGGGGTTGGAACTGGGTGAGCTTTAAGGTCCCTTCCAACCCAAACCGTTCCGTGACCGCATGAGGCGGGAGGTGGAAGGGGTTTGGGCTGTGGGTCTGGCCCCTGGGGGTTGTGCTGGGTGGGTGACCTGCTCCTTGCTTGTGTTAAAGCCACGAAGCCCCTTTCGGTAGCCGGTGCCTCTGCCCCTTTAGGTTCAAGAACGTGGTTTTTGACATCATCCCCTGCGAGGAATCGGGCCGGTTCCAGGTGAAAGCCAAGTTCATGGGGATCGACATGGAGAGGTTCCAGCTGCACTACCAGGTAGGGAGCACCTCACGCTGCTTGATGGTGTCCCCACGTCCAGCTGGGGCTGGGGGAGGACTTGGAGCCCATGGGGACAACATCACCGTGCACTTCCATGGGGTAAACCCAGCTCCGTGCTGGTCCCCGTGGCCCTGGGTGATGCTGGACCTGGATGCTGCGGGTGGGATGTGCAGGGCTGGTGGTGGTGCTGACAGTCCCCTCCGCCCCAGGACCTGCTGCAGTTGCAATACGAGGGTGTCGCAGTCATGAAGATGTTCAATAAGGCCAAGGTCAACGTGAACCTGCTCATCTTCCTCCTCAACAAGAAGTTCTTCAAGAAGTAATGGGGTGGGCTGAGGCGAGTGCTTGGGTGGGGGGTCAAAGATGCCAAAGAGAAGCCTCAGGATCAATGGTCCTGGGGCATCATGTCCCCGTGGGGGGGAAGCTGCTGCTTGCACTTAGGTTTCCCTGCCCTGGGCCCCCCCAGTCCTTTGGGTCACACTGAGAGCTGGTACCAACCCTTCCTGCAGCAAGGATGCAGCTCCTGCAGCAAGGATGCGGCTCCTGCAGCAAGGATAGCTTTAACCTGGAGTGTCTGAGGGTGCTTGGGCTGCCCGAGGATGCTCCGCATCCCAGACACTACACATGCTTTTAGTGATGAAATAAAGGTATTTTAATATATATATATATTTCTTCCTCCCACTAAAGGTGGGGAAAGCTCAGAATTTGACTTTATTATAGGGGTAGGCAGAGAGGGAGGATGGAGGTGGTAACTTGTGCAGCCCCCCAGGGCCTGTCTCTGGTAAATCCAGGTGCAATAGGAGAGGTTTGGGGTTGCACAACGGATTTCCCTGCCTGCTCCTGCGGGCTGGGAGCAGAACCAGAGGAAGGGGAGGCCCAGGGCCACTCCTGTCCTTGGGGCACGGGAGCAGGGCTGCATCCTCTCCTCTGGACCGTGCTGTGATGTGATGCCCAAGCCACCCTCTTGTGGCTGCTCTGTTTTCAAGTGTTACAGGCTGGTTCAGTTTGGCCAGAGCTGCCTTTAAAGCACTTTCTCCTTCGTGGAAGCCCCTTCCAAGAGGCTTAATGGTACCCTGGGACCTTGGCATGGAGGGGGTCTTGTCTTTGGGAATTGATGTCTGTTCATGGGATTTTGATGTGGTTTTAACTCCAAGCTGCTCTCTCGGTGTGTGTGCTGCATCCCTGCTCTGCTGCCTCTGCTCACGTGTCCTAAATAAACCTCTCTATCAGACAACACCGTTCTTGGGTGCTGCTTTCATCTCCCACCACCGTTGTGGTCCTCTCCTCTCCCTGGTGCTGGCTCCTCCATCCCCAAAGCTGGACTCGGCCCTGGGGCATCACCTCTGCTCTTGCAGAGGCATTGAGGCCGCTGTCAGACACCTGGGGGCCTGGTACCAGTTACCACCTTTGCCTTTGTTCTGGTCCCCATCTATCAGTGCTCTTCCTTCAAAGGAAGCCCCAGCACTTGTGTGGCTGTGTCTTGGGGTGGTTTATTTGTCACCATTTGACACCCTGAAACTACTCCTTTGTGATGCTCCAGGGCTGGAGCCTGCTGTAGAGGATGCTGATGAGAACCCCCAGCTCTTCATCCTCGCCTCAATCTCAGCACAGGCTGGAAGGGATTTGGTGGTGCTGGGGAAGAGGTGATGGTTCTGGCTCATGGAAAGCCGGGCCATGGCTTGGAAATCGGTGCTGGCTCCGGGAGGAGGAGGTCGGAGGGGAAAGTTGAGCACGGGGAATGCTGAAGGAGCCCATCAGCCGGCTGGGGCTGAGCCGTCTCCCGAGGCAGCTCCACTAGATGTCATTGCAAGCCGGGGGAACGCAGCGGCTCTGGGTGCTCTGAGCACCCTGCAGCATCCCGGGGAGCAGAGAGATGCCCACCAGCCCTCTCACGGCAGGGTCCTGGATGTGACCATGGCACACGGGGAATTGCCACAACAAGGGCAGGTAGGGGCAGGACAAGGGGAATGGCTTTAACCTGCCAGAGGGGAGATGGAGATGGGATGAGAGGGTGATGGCACATTGGAATGGGTTGAATGGAGATGCTGTGGCTGCCACATCCCTGGCAGTGCTCAAGGCCAGGTTGGACACAAGGGCTTGGAGCACCTTGCTCTAGTAGAAGGGGTCCCTGCTCATGGCAGGGGCTGGAGCTGGCGGAGCTTTAAGGTCCTTTTCGACCCAAACCAGTCAGGTACAGAGGTCTATGGCTGGGAGCTCACTGTCCCGGCAGCATCCTTTGCCCACCCCAGCATCCCCGCAGGACCCCCAGACCCCAACGGGATGCCAGGCTGTTCAATGGGGCTGCTGGGAGCCCTGCTCCTGCCCGCACAGGGGCTGCAGGTGCTGGCTCCAAGGCAGCATTCCCGGAGCACTGCTCGGCTCCGGCATCACGTGCCGCAGCGATGCTAATCCCATTTGGAAAGCCCGCGCCCCGCGCTGCGCCCACTAATCCCCTGCTCTGCCGCGGCTGCGGCGCTGCCTCGGGGTGCCCAAGCACTCAGAGCCCCTTCCATGGGCACCTGGGGCCCTGTCCCAACCCTCTCCCTGCTCCTGCTTCGGCCTTGAGGATGCTCGCGGCCTCCCTGGCCTGTGCAGAAGGGTGCTGAGTGCCCCCAGCACCTGGCTGGGTAGAGGCTGCTGTAGAAGTCTGGACCGAGGGCATCCCAACATCCCAGCGGCTGTTCAAGAGGAGGGGGTCACCTTACTCTCAGCACCCCAAGCCCTCACCTGCGGCGCTAAGGAGGGAGGTGAGTGGCTCAATCCTGCCCGGGTTCTGTTCGGGGTTCACAGTTTTCCAGGGGCTTTGCAAGGCGGCTCCTGTCGGGATGGTGTGGAATGCTCCAGGATGGTGTGGGGTGCCCTGGGATGCTGTGGGATGCTCCGGGATGGTGTGGGGTACCCTGGGGTGGCGCGGGGTGCTCCGGGATGGCGCGGGATGCTCCAGGATAGTGCAGGATGCCCTGGAATGGTGCAGGATGCTCCCGAATGGAGCTGTTGCTCCCTTCCCATGGCAGCAGCTTCCTCGTGGGAGAGGGGGAAAAGCACAAACGGCACCGGGGAGGAAATAAGAGGGAATGTTTGCCGACTGTCTGCAGTGTGTTGTTGCTGGTTGTTGTGTTTCTGCCGTTGCCTTGGCGACGCCGGGAAGATGCCAGGCTGGAGCATCCCGGGGACCAGTGCTCCATGGTGAGCAGCTCGGGTACCAGCCCTGCTGCGGGAATAGGGGGAAGGAGGCGGAGGGATGGGGTCACACCTGTGCTCACCTCCCTGGTGAGGCTGGGATGGGCACTTGCTTTGCACCCGTGGGGCTGTGGCACCCTCTGAGAGGGGCCTGGCCCTCAGAGCAGCAAAGGGGAGCTTAAGAGGGGTGGGTTCTCCTTGCCCATGGGGAAGGCAGCCAGCCCTGCTGTGCTCCCCGGGAGCATCCGGTCTCACCCCCTTCCTTCTTGCCCAGGAGAAAGGGAGCAAACCAGAAGTGCTGTGGAGGGGTGGGTGCACCCGGCTCCAGCCAGAGCAGGATTCATCCCCTTTATATCGGTCCCAAGCCGCAGGGTGAGGTCCCTTTCTGCCTCCTGGAGCTTGGTTTCCGGCAGGGAGGGAGGGATGGAGCCCGGCTCCCGAGGGCCAGGTTGGGGCTGGGATGAGGAAGGGAAGGATGGCGACGCTCCCAGCATCCCCGCTGCTCCCGCAGGAGCTCCGTGCCCCCAGGCATCCCCAGGGCTGAGCAACCGGGGCGTGGGTGAAGGCTCTGCCCCTGGGGCCCCGGAGCCTGGCGGCAGCACCACGGATGTGCCTTAACCCTTGGAGGGCTGCAGCAGCAGCGCGGAGCTCCCGGGGCTGCGAGCAGCATCCTCCTGCGAGCCCCTGCTCTGGGGGGGGGGTCTGTGGGTCCCATCCTGCTCCGCACCAGCAGCGGGAGGGCCGGAGCCTGTCCCTGCTCCCCAGCACTGATTTAATTCACCCCTTTGGCTGCTCTGTCTCCAAGCGGAGCTCGTGTGAGCTGAGAGGAGAGGCCTGGGGAGGAATCCTGCTCCCAGCTGACTCATCCCCCTCCCAGTCCCGGGGTCAGCGCTGGATTGCAAACAAACCCAGCCGATTCCCACTGCTCCGCTCTGGGAACGCGCTCCCATGCCAAAGGCAGGGAGCTGGGAAGCAGCTGGGAATCCTCCTCCCTCCCTGCGAGCAGAGGGGGGGAGCTTTGGTGGCACCTGAAGGGTTGAACCCCCCCCAGGAGCTGGGGGGTGTGGGGGGAACCCCCAGGCACAGGGATTCAGTGCCCTGCTCCCCCCTTCCAAAGGGAGGCAGCGAGGATCAGGCCCCAGCTCTTGCATCCCTGCTGTAGCATCTCCAGGTGGGACCCAATTCCCAGCTCCTTTGCAGCCCCATCCTCCCCTTGGTGTAGTTTTCCATCCCAGCAGCTCCAGCCCATGCCCAGGTCTCAGGAGCAAGGAAAACGGAAGGAATGGGAGGTTGGAGCTGGGATTTGCAGCCACATCCGACCCCAAAACCCTTCCCTTATGGGGCTGAGCTGGAACAGGAGCGAGCCCTGAGTCACCCCCCACACACACAGCTCCCTGTGCTGCTGAGCCAGCAGTGACCAGGGCCATGGGAAGGGGAAGGTTTGCTCAGCACGGATGCTCCAGGGGAAAGAATGAGCTCTGGGGCTGGAGCTGGGCTCCGGCCACCCGGGATCCATCCCTTGGTGCTTGTAAATGTGTCCCATCCCCGTTCCCCCCCACTTCTTCCATGAGCTTCTTCTGCTTGAATCAGTGGCCGTGACTCACGGGGAGGAAAGGGGCAGCTGGGGCGAGCTGTGCTCCAGCCCCAAGGCCGCAGCGGGTCCCTCTCCCAACGGGCTCGTGATGGAGCCATGGGAGCAGCAGCGGCACAAAGCCCCTTCCCCTCGGCTCCATCCCATGGCCCGGCGCGTCCCCCTCCCATGGGTGCAGCAGGGTGCGGACCGGTCGAGCCGGTGCACCCCGTCCCGGCAGAGAGGGGAGATTCCTTTTGGGGGGGGGGGGTTTGCCTTCATCACCCCATTGGCCATCACATCACACCCAGAGGGGACTGCGTCACCCATGGGGATGGGAGGGGAGGAACAAGGCAGAATCCCCCAAAAATGGTTTGGGCTTTGCTGCTTTGAGGAGGGGGGGAAAGATGGAGGGGATTGGTCCAGGGTGCCAAATCCTGCCTGGGTTAGTTAAAGAGATCAAGCATCAGGGATTAGGGAGGCAAGAGATCCAAGCCACCTGTGGGGTGGGGGGGAAACCTATGGAGAAGGATATGCAGAGAGGTGTAAGGAAAAGTCCTGGTGGCTCTTGGTACCGACAGGGCTCCAGGGTTGATGGAAGGAGCCGCAGAGACTTGAGGGCAGCTGGGTACCAAAAGCAACCAGTGGCTCCATGAGGCTGGTGCTAGCAGCCCTGGGGGAACAACCCCCACGGCTCCTTCCATGGGG